ATATGCGAGTGGTTAATAAAGATCTAAAAAGGTGCTCAACCTCATTAATAGTCAAGAAATTTAAATTAAGTCCACAATGATGTATTTCTATACTCATAGCAGGATGGTAAAAATGAAAAGATTCTGACAATGCTACATACAGCATAGATACGGAACAATAGGAACTCTAAACTACCAATGGCAAGGCTGTGAATTGGTCCCAACTCTTTGGGAAATACCTTGGTATCAGCTTGAGAAGCTGAAGATATGCATACCCTGCAACCCATCATTCCCTATCCTGGATGTATAACCTACAAGAACACCTGCCCACGTGCTCCAGCAAATGCACACAGAGTGTTCATAGCAGCATTATTCTTTTTTTTACATGAATAAAATTTTTAATTTTTTTGACATTTAAAAACATTTAAGAATTCATTTAACATAATAAACTTATTACATATTGATATAAATAACATTTTAATTTAGAAAATCCTAGTTTTTAAAATTATACTTTAAGTTCTGGAATATACGTGCAGAACATGTTACATACATGCTAGGTATATACATAGCAGCTTTATTCTTAACAGTTGCAAACTATAAGCAACTCGGTAGAGATGTGTGTAGTCATACAATAGATGGCACAGCAATGAAAATTGACAAAATACAGCTACCCACAACAATGTGGATGAAATTCATGAATATAATGTTGAACACACAAAGCCAGGCACAAAAGAATACATTCCAACTGACTCCATTGATATAGAACAGAAGCAGACAAGAACCAAAACCTATTTAAGGGAATACATACCAGCTTGAAAATGTAAAAAAGAAAGTCACTACCATTAGCTGCCTTCGAGAGCATAGGAAGGGGCTGTATTGAAAAAGAATAAGCAAGGAGCAGAAAGTGTTGGAAATCTTTTACTCAATCTCAGTGATAGTTTAATGAGTGGTCACTTCATAATAGTTCTTTAGACCGAACATTAATGTTTCATGCATATTTTTGTCTTTGTATTTTTTTTCACAATGCATATTTTCACAAAAAGGAAAAGTAGTTCTTCCTTGTTTTGTCTCCTTTTCTTTACTAACCGAACTAGTCAGTCCTAAAGCCATTAGATAGGCAGAACAAGGTAGGCGTTTGCCCCAAGGGGAAGGGAGCCATGGCTGGCTCCGTGTGGGCATCAGAGCCGGAACAGGTCAAGGAGGGCGCCTCTGTAGGAGGGCTGCTGGCATGGTGTGCTGGAGCCAGGGGTAGATGAGAATGTCCAGTGAGGAGGCAAGAAGCAGCATAGCATGGAGACCAGTCTGCCCATGTTGAGAAAGGCATCCCCCTGGGGCTATAGGGGCAGACTGGCACAGAATGAGAGCCTGAGTGGGGTGACGAGAGTGTCCAGGTGGGGGAGCAGATGAGGGAGGAGCCTCAGAGCTGGAGCAAAGTGAGGAAGCTGTCTCCATAGGGAGAAGGCCTGATGTGGACTGTCCGAACTGAAGGAGGGTGAGGAGGGTGTCTATGGGGGTGGGCAGCCAGACATGGAGGGTCAGAGCCCAAGGAGATGAGGAGGATACGTAGAAGTTAGGGTGGTTGGCTGTGGGGAGTTGGGCCAAGCATAGTGAGGAGGGGTTCCACAGAACAGGGCTGTTTTGTGTCAGGAATCAGAGCCTAAGCAGGGTGAAGAAGGCATCAATGGATCAAGCGATTCTCCTGCCTTAGCCTCCCCAGTAGCTGGAACTACAGGCGTGCGCCACCACGCCCGGCTAATTTTTGCATTTTTAGTAGAGACGGGGTTTCAGCATGTTGGCCACGTTGGTCTCGAATGCATCCTGATATGGCTGTTGGAGCCCAAGTAGGGTAAGTTGGGCATCTTTGAGTGGCCCAGTGTGGAGGGTGAGAGCCTGAGTAGGGTAAAGTTTGATTTTTTTAAAAAAACAAACATGTAATATGTATCTACACATTTTCAAAAAATTAAAACAGGAGTAATAGTGATAGGTTATATTATTATTCACAACTATTCATTCCATCTTCCCTTTAAGAGGACACTCCTGCCCATTACCTTGCAATTTCAGAACCGCCTGTGGAAGGAAGACATATTTCTGTCTCATTGACTGTGGTTTGCTGTCGGCTGTGCTTTGTCTATTGGAATATGAGCGGACGTAGCATATGCATTGTGAATTTTGCACTATGAGTTTCTGCCAGCTCCTTTGTGCTTCCCCTCTGCCAGGAGAAGGGGCCTAATCCACATAGAGGCTGCTGCTTTAGTCTTGGTCCCACAGCCTTGAGTAGAGCCCCCGCCTGGAACAAGGCAGTAGACAATTTGCCTAGGAAGTCTTTTGTTGTGGCAAGTCATGGAGAGCTCAAAGTTATTTGTCCCCAAAGTAATAAAAATACAGTTGATTCCCGTTACTTGGGGGTAGTTATGTTCTGTAAAGTCACTGTGAACACCAGATTAGCAAATACTGAGCCACTGCTCAGGGAAAGTGCAAGCCTCTGACCACACATTTTCATCATTTGATCAATACATAACCCTGTTTTATGTGTGCTTCTGTCTGAAGACACATGATATAGATGGTAATTAGAAGGTGCACACAGAAGGCTTCTGGGAGGCTGGCTACTTTCTATTTTTTAACCTATGTGGTTAATTATTAAAAAAACTATACATAATTTTTTTTTTTTTTTTTTGAGAGGGAATCTCTCTGTCCCCCAGGCTGGGGCATAGTGGTGTGATCTCGGCTCTCTGCAATCTCTACCTTCCGGGTTCAAGGGATTCTCCTGCCTTAGCCTCCCGAGTAGTTGGGACTACAGGTGTGCACCACCACACCCGGCTAATTTTTATATTTTTGGTAGAGACGGGGTTTCACTGTGTTGGCCAGGCTGGTCTTGAACTCCTGAACACAGGTGATCTGCCTGCCTCAGCCTCTCAAAGTGCTGGGATTACAGGCGTGAGCCACCGCGCTGGCCCTGTCTTTATTTTTTAAACGTGTATATAGGCGCAGTGGCTCATGTCTGTAATTCCAGCACTGTGGGAGGCTGAGGCAGGCGGATCCCTAGGTCAGGAGATTGAGACCATCCTGGCCAACTCAGTGAAACCTCGTCTCTACTAAAAATACAAAAAATTAGCAGGGCATGGTGGCAGATGCCTGTAATCCCAGTTACTCGGGAGGCTGAGGCAGGAGAATGGCTTGAACCCAGAAGGTGGAGGTTGCAGTGAGCCGAGATCGCACCACTGCACTCCAGCCTAGTGACAGAGTGAGACTCTGTCTCAAAAAAAAACAAAAAAACAAAACCAAAAAAACCCCACATACCTTATATAATATATATTATTGTTTCGTTAACATTGAATTGTGGCTGAAAGCCCTGTGACTCATGCCTGAACCAAGCTTATCTAACACAGGTAATTTCTTCGTAAGCCACATCGTAGGCCTCTTGCTCTTAGGACACTTGACAGCACTTTAGTAACTCTTGGCGGCCATTTTAAACAGCAAACTCACCAATGAAAAGCACACAAATGTGAAAAATGTGACACTAAATCGACTGCAAAAAGGAAGTTTGTTTATAGTAGTAGAAGGGCTTAAACAAGCAGAGCATTGTCTTGTTTGACTTCAGCTGGGAATGTGTATGTTGCGTGACTCAAGTTTTTTGCCACTCTGCACATATCCTGAATGACCACAAAAGCATCATGAGTATTGATTTTTGGGTGATAAATACATTTCAACAGGTAGGCAAATTTGCAAGTACAGAATCTGAATAATGAGGACTGAGAGTAGGTAACTCATAATAAGATTGTAGAAATGAATCCAAATATGTCATTGGTACCTGCAAATGTCAATTAATAGGTAATAATTGCTGGACTGGATTTTTACAGTGTAGATTTACACTATTTGAAGGATAAACTTAAAACGTAAGTAGAATGGTTGAATGCAAAAGAATGGAAAAAAGACTAGGTAAATGCAAACAAAGAAGAGAAAGTATAGTTTGATTAATATTAGGCAATAGAAAACTCTAAGTCCAGGCACATTGGCTCACGCCTGTAATCCAACACTTTGGGAGGCCGAGGCAGGCAGATTGCTTGAGGCCAGGAGTTCAAGACCAGCCTGGGCAACATGGCAAGACCCCGTCTCTACTAAAATTACAAAAATTACAGGCATGGTGGCACATGCCTGTAATCCCAGCTACTTGGGAGGCTGAGGCACAAGAATCATTTGAACCCAGGAGGGGGAGGTTGGAGTGAGCCAAGATCATGCCACGGCACTCCAGCCTGGGAGAAAGAGAGAGGGAGATTCTGTCTAAAAAAAAAAAAAAAGAAAACTCTAAGATGAAGTTTTATCTTTAAGGATAAAGGAAGGCTTGCTAGATAATGGTAAAAGACTCAGTTCACCAGGAATGCATTTGTATTTACCTAAACCAATCAAATCAGGATATATTAAAGCAAACATTGACATCATTATGGGCACAAATTGAGAAATCTATAACTGTATTGAGGGCCCTTGACACACCTTTCTCAATCATTGACAGATCAAAAGGGCAAAAAATGTAAAAGATTTAAAATATTTTAACAACACAATATGGAGATACATATGGAGTTCTGTACTCAATATTTAGAGACTATCTTTCCCCAGTGTCAGAATGTAGATATCTGACTAGGCAGCATTTAGAAGATAATATCTTTGGACGAGGCTTACCAATTTACTTACTGACTCTGCCTGAACTTAGGGCAAGGTGTATTAAAGAGACTTATGGAGCTAGTGGTCCTCCTCAAGGTCTACTTCTTAGTAACTGAGGCTAGAGGCACATATCTGGTTGAGTAGCCTCGCAACAGAACATGCTATGCTACGGGGATGAGGAGGGGTGTAAGCTAGGAGCTCTCAGTCATGGAGACGGGGGGGCCTGGGGCTGGGCAAGTGCCTAATGGGGGAGAACTAGGGGGTAGTGCGATGTAATGGAGTTATAGTGGGCCCTTACCTGTAGTTCCTAAATATTGTAACCTGGGAATTCACACTGTTCTCCCAGCTCCTGGCCAGCTGTAGATCTTTCAATTGCAAAATGCTGCTCAGTTTTCTGCAAAGTGCAACTTCTGCTATTTGGGGAAGCTGGGCAAAAAGGTAGGTTCTGGGTAGTACGGGATTTTAACAATATTGATTCTTCTAATCCATACGAAATATGAACATGAAATATCTTTTCATTTATTTATGTCTTCTCCAATTTCTTTCACTAGTTTTCAGTGTACAGATCTCACATATCCTTTATTAAATTTACTCCTAAGTATTTTTTATGCTATTGTAAATGGGATTGTTTTAATTTGGTTTTCAGGTAGTTTGTTGCTAGTGTGTAGAAATGCTACTGATTTTTGTATGTTGATTTTGTATCCTGAAAGTTTAATAAATTACTTAATCAGTTCTAACAGTTTTTCGGTGTGAAGTCTTTAGGGTTTTCTATATATAGGATCCTGTCATAAGTAAACAGAGGCAATTTCACCGCTTTCTTCCCTATTTGGTGACTTTTATTTATTTTTCTTGCTAATTGCACTGGCCAGGGCTTTCAGTACCATGTTGATTAAAAGTGGTAAAAATTGGCATTCTTATCTTGTTCCTGATCTCAGAGAAAAAACTTTCAACTTTTCAGTGTTGAGTATAAGAGTGGTGGGCTTGTCATATCTGGACTTTACCGTGTTGATGTATATTCCTTCTATACCTAACTTGTTGAAAATTTTTATCATAAAAATGTTGAATTTTGTCAAATGCATTTTCTGCATCTACTGAGATGATCATATTATTTATATCACTAGTTCTTTTAAGATGGTGCACCACATTGATTGCTTTGAATATGTTGAAGCATTCTTGCATTCAAATGATAAATCCTACTTGATCATGGTGAATGATACTTTGTTTTTCTTTTATTTGGAGACAGGGTCTCGCTTTGTCACCCAGGCTAGAGTGCAGTGGCACGATCTTGGCTCACTGCAACCTCTGCCACCCAGGTTCAAGTAATTCTTGTGCCTCAGCCTCTCAAGTAGCTGGGATTATGGGGATGTGTCATCACGCCTGGCTACTTTTTTTTTTTTGTATTTTTAGTAGAGACAGGGTTTTGCCCTGTTGGCCAGGCTGGTCTCGAATGCCTAGCCTCAAGTGATCTGCCCACCTTGGCCTCCCAAATTGCTGGGATTACAGGTGTGACCCACCATGCCTGGCTGTGAATGATACTTTTAATGTGCTGTTGAATACAGTTTGCTTATATATTTTTTTGAGAATTTTTGCCTCTATGTACATCATGGATATTGGCCTGTAATTTTCTTTTCTTGTAGTGTCTTTGCATGGCTTGGTATTAGAATAATGCTGGCCTCATAAAATGAACTTGAAAAAATTCCCTCCACTTCAATTTTTTGGAAACATTTGAGGAGGATTAGCATTAGTTCTTAATGCTAATCCCAGAAATAAATCTAGGAAACCCAGAAATAAATCTATACACTTATCGTTAATTGATTTTTGATAAAGGTGCCATGAACACACAATGGAGACTGTCTCTGATAAATGGTCTTGGGAAAACTGGAAATTCACATGTAGAAAAATAAAATTGAACCCTTATTGCACACCATGCAAAAAAATCAACCCAATGGGTAAAGAAAATGTGGTATATATACACCATGGAATACTACTCAGCCATAAAAAATCATGAAATAATGTATTTTGCAGCAACTTGGATGGAGCTGGAGGCCATTATTCTAAGTGAAGAAACTCAGTAATGGAAAACCAAATACCATATGTTTTCACTTACAAGTTGAGTTAACCTATGGGTATGCAAAGTTATACAGAGTGATATGATGGACTTTGGAGACTCAGAAGGGAGGAATGTAGGAGGGCAGAGAAGGATAAAAAAAAGAACTACATATTAGGTACAATGTACACTACTTGGGGACTGGTGCACTAAAATCTCAGACTTCACCACTATACAATCCATTCATATAACCAAAAACCACTTGTGCCCCAAAAGCCACTGAAACACAAAATATGCATATATTTTTAAAAAATCAACTCAAAATGGACAAAAGATCTAACCACAATGGCTGAAACTATAAAACTCTGGAAGAAAACCTAGGGGGAAAGCTCCATTATATTGCTATGGGCAATGATTTTTTAGATATGACCCTAAAAGCACAAGGAACAGAAGTAAAAATATACAAGTGAGATTACATTAAATTACAAAGTGTTTGCACAGCAAAGAAAATAATCAACAGTCAGGAGACAACTCATAGAGTGAGAGAAAATATTTGCAAACCATACTATGATGAGGGGTTAATATTCAAAACATATAAAGAACTCCATCAACTCGATAGTAAGAAAACAACTCAATTTAAAAATGGGCAAAGGACTTGAATAGACATTTCTTAAAAGAAGGCATACAAAGGCTGGGCATGGTGGCTCACACCTGTAATCCCAGCATTTTGGGAGGCCAAAGCAGGAAGATCACTTGAGGTCAGGAGTTCAAGACTAGCCGGGCCAACATGGTGAAACCCTGTCTCTACTAAAAGCACAAAAATTAGCTAGGCATAATGGCGCATGCCTGTAGTCCCAGCTACTCAGGAGAATCACTTTGTTTAGTAGAGACGGAGTTTCACTGTGTTAGCCAGGATGGTCTTGATCTCCTGACTTTGTGATCTGCCGGCATCCGCCTCCCAAAGTGCTGGGTTTACAGGTGAGAGCTAACTCGCCCGGCCTATTCTGGGCTAAGGTTTTTCATTTAATTTTTTTTTTTTTGTAGAGACAGGGTCTTGTTATGTTGCCCAGGTGGGTCTTGAACTCCTGGGCTCAAGTGATCCTCCTGTCTTGGCCTCCCAAAGTACTGAGATTACAAACATGAGCCACTGTGCCCAGAACCTGGTATATTATTTATATAGCACATTTGTGTCCGTGTATTCCAAGTCTGTCCTAGTTCTTCAAAGCCCCTACTTAGCAACTCTTGCAATCATGCTCATTTGTTACCTGTAAGACCTGTGTTTTGTAGTCTCTTGCCCAAACAAACCCCAGTCCAACCAAAATGGATTCATTCTGTGTCAAAGTTGCCAGATTTAGAAAATAAAAATAGAGGATGACCAGTTAAATCTGAATGTCAGATAAACATCAAATAATTTTTTAGTAGAACTATGTTCCTTATATTACATGGGATATACTTATGCTAAAATTATAAATGGACATCCTCTATTATGTTTGGCAATTCTATTAATTTGTGTTTCTCCCCCGCCTCCATCCCATGAGATCTGCTTTCTTCTAACTGACTGCATCTGATCAACTGATTCTCAAGACTGGGTTAACAGACGTTTTCAGGTTAAAGGGTAAAATTTCAAACCCATAGAGTGACTTGATAATAAAAATGTAAAGCACCAGAGGGCCTTTTGGCTAATCTTTTAGGGGAACTAAAGGAATGATTTACACAGTCTCTGACTAGGGAACTCAAAAGCTAAAATGGTAATAGGAACATTTTTTGGCATTCACTGTTGCCATTCATTATTTGTTAATTGACTAAAATACAATAAACACTGATTTACAAGCCAGCTTTACAAAAATAGTTCAAGTAATTCTTGTGTCTATGAGGTAGGTGTTATTATTGTTTCTTTTATGACAAACTGAGGCTCAGTGAGGTGAAGTGACTGAGCCCAGGCCACACAGTCAGTAAGTGGTGGATTAAGGATGTGAACTCAGGTCTAACTCTGAATGCTATGTTTCCTACCACTCCATACCACTTCATTAAATCTTCTTAATCCTCACAATGACAACAAAGCTTCCAGGTTAACTGCATTGCTCCCATTTTCTAGATGAGGAAACAGAGGATCCAAGATATGCTGCTATAAGGGATTGAGCCACGCCCAAAATCAAGATCACTATGTTTGGGATCATAATTTCCATGACCAAAGAGTACAGGCACTATTGTAAAATTTGAAGAGGATACATGATTAGAACTCCCCCAACAAGAAAGATCGGGGAGATAAATTGTCACAGTCTTTACTTTTAGGCAGCTGCATGGTATGGCTTCAGGAACTCTGGAAGAGACTCTATTCCAAGATACCACCATAGCTTTCTCAGTATCTGAAGTTCCACCAGTACAGACGTATATTTTGGCATACAGATGTTTTCTCTGTCTCTTGCTTCCTCTTTCTCCCTCTACCCACCTCTTACATTTTTGAAATGAATGCATTCTAAAAGTTAATACAGTAAGGGATTATTAGTTTTTCATGCCTTAAAATAAAAAATACATAAGGATCACGAAAACGCATGTGGGAAATGGGGGCTTGAGTAGGTGGGGGAAGCTCATCTGTTCATCTGGTTGCCTGGGAGTATCATAAGATCCTAGGCTTGGATAGTAACAGAAGGAATGAAAGGAATTTCTTTGTTAACCCGAGGTCATCTGAGATCGTTCTTGCTTCTGGTGCACCAAGATCCAGTAGAGTGTGCCCAGGCCCTCTGGAAAATCTCATACCATCCATTTCTGTCATCAGTGGAGCAAAGAAAAGATGCTCACTAGTGTCTGGGGTTGCCCCTGGAGTGACTGTGGGCAAACCAGCTCTGCAACTGTGCCAAACAAATTCTTGTGATCATTTAAGTGTGGCCTCTTACCCAGGAGCAAAACAATAGGCAAGTGTCTGTGTAGCACAAAGTATAGCACCATGGCAAGGTATGGGGATTGGTCAGGGTCCTGAAACGGAATGTCTTAGATGCACCGTAACTCACCATCTGACCTCAGACAGACCCCTTCCCCATGCTGGTGTCAGTCTTCTTACCTGTGAACTAAAGGGACCTGGTGGATCATCGCTAAGGTTCCTCTGCACACACTTTGTGTCTCTCTCTGGATTGTGCTTAACTCCCACCTCTCTTCTCATCCACACAGGCACCTTCCTCTCTACAGCTCCACCTTCTCCTGGAGGAATGTAGCCTTCCTGCTGCTTCTCTCCCTTGCTTTGGAGTGGACATCTGCATTGCTGCACAAGAAGAACAAACGTGAGTTCAAAAAACCTGCAGCCATTCTTCCTTAGAAAGTATTCTTGAGGATGAGGGTTAGACATGAGGCCAGCGCCAGTGTCAGATGAGGCCCCCTCTGCCATGGATTTGGGGCCACAGAAAGCTACCCCTGCTCACCACCCTGGCCCTCCACATACTTTCCTTACTTGTTCCCCCCAAATTATTTCCCTAACTTTTCCATATGTATATATGGAAGGAGACTATGTATATAGTTTGCATCTACTGGGGATGCTTCCCAGAGATATGGTCTCATCTGTCTTATGATATCACTCAACACATACTTCTTGGGTGATCACATTCATTCCCACTGCACACACATACACAAACACACACACACAAGTTTAATTTTTTTTAAATTAATAAGTCACTAGGCATGAGCCTGAGAGGAGAGGACCAGTGAGGAGGCTGTTGCAGTAGTTGAGAAGAGACAAGGGATGAGATCAGGTGCTGATCTGAGGGAGTGGTAGTAAAAAGAGGCAGGAGACAGGGTTTGGAGAGAGGTTTAGGAGACAGAGTTGACCCAAGTCCATGACTGACAGGATACTGGGGTGGCAGAGAGGAAGGAGTGCATCTCTGGATTCTAATAACAGACTGGACCTGTTGATGCCAAATGTCAAGATGCGGAATAGAAAGTAAGGTAGTGCTTGGGCATAAGGAGGTAATAGTTCTGTTTTAAATATGTTAGAACAGACGTGCTTCTGCGATGCTTAGATGGTGTTTTTCCCAGGCAGGTCGAAATGAGTCTTTAGTTTGGAATAGAGGATGAGTCTGGAGGAAGAGATGAGAATCATAGTTGGGATTGTGGGAATGAGTGGGATCACCCAGGAAGTATGTGTCAAGTAATGTCAGAAGACAGTTGAGACCAGATGTCTGGGAAGCATCCCCAGTAGATGCAGAGAAACCTGTGAGGTGTGCTTATACACACAAGCAAGTGGTTAAGAAGAGCTGACAAGAAACGGAGGCGGGGTTTTTATTAATAAGTGAGAGTTCAAGCTGGCAATGGGGAAAGGAGCTTCAACGACACAAACCCAGTTTGATTTGCCAAACTCTCTGTCTGCTAAACCTAGAACAATGGTTCCCAAGGAACAGCCTACCTCCTGGTGCCCACTGCCTGCTTTAGGATCACCTGAGGTTCTTTTTAAAAAGTGGAGTCCCAAAGATGCACTTTCTAGAGATTCTGATTCAGCCTAGAGTTTATATTTTCTGAAACATGCATAGATGATTTTGATGTACACTCCAAATTAGGAACCACATACTCTTCTTAGCTTCAGCCCATTCCTGGAGGGATCATTAATGACAAGAAGTATTGTTGGAAAGTACTCAAAGTCTCAGTGGCCAGTCCTCAGGGAAGATGTGGGGCTCCTTAAGTTAGTCCTGGACTGTAAATCCCAGACTTGCCCCTAATGCATTGTATTATCTTATTGTACCTCATTTCTTTTAATCTGTGAAATCAGAAGTTTGGTACCAATGATAATAGAGTTCTTTCCATTCCAAAGTTCTACAGTTCCAAAACTCAGTAGTATCTGAAAGGATCATGCCTCTCTGGCCAGATTCCATTGGAGGGATACTCAGTTTAGAATCATGGAGACACATTAAATGCTATATGAGCCATCCTTTGCTACCTAACAAATTGTCTGTGGGTCAGAAGTCTGGCATTGCGCATCTGGGTTCTTTGCTCCGGTTCTTTCCAGGCTGAGATTGAAATGTCAGCCAGGGCTGTAATTCTCATTTGGGATGCAAGGTCCTCTCCCAAGCTCGCTGGTTGTAGCAGAATCGTTTCCTTGGAGTTGTAGGACTGAGGCTACTTTACTGGCTGTCACTTCTAGATGCCACCCTCATGCCTTGGCACTTGGCCTCAACAATCTCCAAAGCTACGAATAGCTTGTTAGATGCTTCTCATCATTTGAATCTCTCTGATCAATTCTTCTCTACCAACCAGAAGAAAGCTCTGCTTTTCAAGGACCTAATTGACTAGGTCTGGGCCAGAGATGAGACCTTAAGATTAGAGATTATCTCTAATCTTAAGGTCAACTAACTTGGGTCTTTAATTTTTCTGCAAAATCCCTTCACAGCATTGCCTAGATTAGTGTTTGATTCAATAATCAGTAGTTGGGAATCTTGAGGGTGCAACTTTAGATTCTACCTACCACAAGCACTGAAATCAGGAAGCCATGTCTAGCCTCAAAAAGGAAGGAAGCATGGCCATACCACCCTGAAAATGCCTGATTTTGTCTGATCTCAAAAGGTAAGCAGGGTCAGACCTGGTTAGTACTTGGATGGGAGGCTGACTGGAAACACTGGGTGCTATAGTTTTTTTCCCCTTGCCTCTTCTAGTTTTTAGTAAAAAAAATAAAAATAAAAATAAAAGGTAGGAAGCAACTCCATATCTGCCAAGGTCTTACCCCAGGCATTATAGACATCACCCCATTGAACTCTTATAATCAACCTGTAAGGCAGGAATTGTCATTCTCATTTTAAAGATGGAAAATATAACTCAGATGAAGGGAAATACTTTCCCAAGATTATTTAGTTGGTTAGTGTTGGAGCCAGGCTCCCGAGCCAGATCTGCCTGACTATAATGCTTCTTCCACTCCACCATTTCTTACTCCTTAGAGGTAAATTAAAAATCATACAACTGAGTTCAGATCGGTCTTGAGTTTACCAGGAGTCAAGGGTCAAATCAGGCCTCCTGACCTCTACTTCCATGGTGTTTCCACCAGTCTTTACTAGTTTCTTTTATCAACTAGAGACAAAGGAATTAAGAATTAAAATATTAGCTTTCAAGAAGAGAGAAACTCTTTTGAATTTAGGGCCTTGGTCCCTTCCTAACCCCTTGCCCTGGAATCCAACATGCTTCTCCTTCAGTTCTTCTTGGACACAAATTCCTGATTCAGATCCATTTGAACGAATCTGAGTGCTGAGAAACAGAACTAGCCCCTGAATAGAAGCAGAGCAAGAGCTAAGAATTGAAGGTAGAGGATAGGGCTGAGAGAATTTCACTACACGCCTTTGCCATAGGAGGAAAAAAGCTGAAATTCTGAATGAATGTGAGTTTGGACATTTCTTTCTTGCAGAGAAACCAGGGTTGTGTCCCAAAGAGAGGCTCGCTTGTACCGCTGAACTTCCGAATTCATGTAACACAGATTTTGACTGCCAGGAATACCTAAAGTGCTGCCTTTTTGCCTGTCAGAAGAAATGCATGGATCCCTTTCAAGGTAGTGATGTCCAGGCTGAGGACAGAGGTTCCCCACTTCTTGCTCTGTCCAAAACTGGCTGAGGGATTCCCTTGGATGGCAGGACAAGGACCCAGGGCCTGTGCTCTTCTCATTCTCTTATTCAATGCCTAACCCTCAAGTACAAATCATAAGTCTAGGCATGGTGACCATCAACTACCATAATATTGATGCTGGTCTTCTTGGGTCCCACATTCAATCATTCACAAATAACTAATACTTGTTGCATGCTCACTCTGTTCAAGAGACTATTATGGCACTGTGACAAAATGAAACCTCAGTCAGCTTAGATGCTGGCATTGTTTTTCAGACTCTTTGATCTTCAAGGAGGTTTTCTGGTAACTCAATGTATTGGGCATCTATCCAATATGTGTGGGGAACTGTGTGCTTTTTAAAAAGATTCATTTATTCATTCACTCATACATTTATCCACTCATCAAATATCTGTTGTTAACGCCCTTTGAAAAGACCACCAGAATACACCTGTAGTTGAACAAGTTGGGTTTAGTACTCATTGAAGTGAGGGAAAATATTCACCCTAGACAAGTTTGAGGCATTTCAGTAAGAAGCTGTTAGAAAGAATCTATTATAGGATTTAGGCTTTGATTGGGTAACTCAGGGGAGGGTCTAAAGAAGTGAGAGTTTGCTCTAGATTGAGTGCTGTCAGAAAGCGGGGGCAATTCTATGACTGGCTATCCCAGGGAATCTTAACTATACAGAATGCAGACCAGACTGAGGATAAAGCTGTGATTGATGGTAGAGAAGCGTAAGTCACTCATGTTAGCTTAGAAGGGGATGGGTGTTTGGTATTTTGCAGGTTTCATGGTGATCTTGTTTTTGTCTCACTTCATCATGATCTCAGAGTGACTTTGTTTGATATAAATGTTCTAGGAGATTTTTAGATCTCCAACAGAGAATCCATGTTGCTTAGCTGGGAGTGTCAGATCAGTTTTCAGACGTCAGGGGCTGTCTCTTCCTTGGTATTTCACTCTTTCTAGGTACTAGGCACTTTGTTAGGCACTTAGGATGCAAAAGTAATTGCAGTTTTGGACCGTGAATTTTAAATCATTATAACTATGTTCAAACAAATCTTTATTGGCTGGGCATGGTGGCTTATACCTGTAATCCCAGCACTTTGGGAGGCCAAGGCGGGCGGATCACCTGATGTCAGGAGTTCAAGACCAGTCTGACCAACATGGTGAAACCCTGTCTCTACTAAAAATACAAAAATTAGCTGGGCATGGTGGGGGGTGCCTGTAATCCCAGCTACTCAGGAGGCTGAAGCAGGAGAATTGCTTGAACTAGGGAGGCAGAGGTTGCAGTAAGCTGAGATCACACCATTGCACTGCGGCCTGGGTGACACAGCGAGATTCCTTCTCAAAAAACAAAACAAAACAAAACAAAACACATCTTTATTAATCAAAATAGGAACGATTACAATCAACACATTTTTGCCAAAGAGAAATAAGTTTGTGTAGCGTAAAAATCCATGCTTCAGGATTTGACGAACTCTTGGAAAACATTTTCTGCATCCTGCTGTTTGTGGATGTGTTTTCCCTGCAAAAAGTTGTTGAGATGCTTGAAGAAGTGGTATTTGGTTGGCGAGAGGTCAGATGAATATGGTGGATGAAGCAAAACTTTGTAGCCCAATTCATTCAACTTTTGTGTTGGTTGTGTGATGTGTGGTTGGGTGTTGTTGTGGAGAAGAATTGGCCCTTTCTGTGGACCAGTTGGCCCTTTCTGGCTGCCAGTTGGTCCAATGTGGACCAATGCTGGCTGTAGGCACTGCAGTTTTCAGTGCATCTCATTGATTTGCTGAGCATACTTCTCAGATGTAGTGGTTTTGCCAGGATTCAGAAAGCTATAGTGGATCAGACCAGCAGCAGACCACCAAACAATGACCATGACCTTTCTTTGGTGCAAGTTTGGCTTTGGGAAGTGTTTTTGAGCTTCTTCTTGGTCCAACCACTGAGCTGGTCATCACTGGTTGTCGTGTAAAATCCACTTTTCATTGCATGTCACAATTGGATTGAGAAATAGTTTGTTGTTGTTGCATAGAGTAAGAGATGACCCTTCAAACCAATTTATTTTTTAAATTTTTGCTCAGCTCATGAGGCATCCACCTATCGAGCTTTTCACCTTTCCAATTTACTTCAAATGCTGAATGACCATAGAATGGTCAACGTTGAGTTCTTCAGCAACTTCTTGTGTAGTTGTAAGAGGATCAACCTTGATGACTGCTCTTAATTGGTCATTGTCAACTTCCAATGGCCAGCCACTATGCTGCTCATCTTCAAGGCCCTCGTCTCCTTTGCAAAACTTCCTGAACCATCACTGCGCTGTACATTTCTTAGCAGTTCCCAGGCTAAATGTGTTGTTGATGTTGCAAGTTGTCTCTGCTGCTTTAAGACCCATTTTCAACTCAAATAAGAAAATCACTCGAATTTGTTTTTTGTCTAACATAATTTCCATAGTCTAAAATAAATATAAAGAGCAAATAATAAGTCATTAGCAAAAGTACATGAAGCAAGAAATGTGCATTAAAATGATGTATAATATAGCCACATTTATTTAAGAATGTATTCTAATATCAAACAGCAAATTTCAACAATGCAAAACCACAATTACTTTTGCACCAACCTAATAGTTGCTGAACAAGTCTTGCCCTACCAAAGCTCAGTACAATGGAGAAGAAAGATCAGCTCCAAAGTACAAGATTCTTATATGCACCTTGTAATATTCTTTGCAAGGAAGGAGTGATGCTCAGAGGTGCCATACAACATAGACTAGTAGTAGTAGAACTGGGACCAGAACCTATGCCTTTTTTTTCCCCTGCCATGGCTCCTTTTTTGACGTGGGTGATAACACCAGGAGTTATGACAAATGCTAGGGAACTGACCCTGTTCTTTTATCTCTACTCTTCATGTCCTTCCTTCCTTGCTTCCTGACTTCAGAACCCTGCACGCTACCTGTGAGACAAGGAAACTGTAATCATGATGCACAGCGCTGGTATTTTGACTTTAAAAATTATCGCTGCACACCCTTCACATACAGGGGCTGCAAAGGGAATGCCAACAACTTCTTGAGTGAGAATGACTGCAGAACGGCCTGCATGTTAGTTGGTGAGACCCATATTCTGGAAATCTGAGGGTCTAGTTTAACTAGAAATAGTATACCAGTGAGGTTATAGGCTCAGGATTTGAGGTTAAAGTTCCTTGGTTCAAGACTTAACTCTGTCATTCACTGGCTGGGAGGTCTTGGGCCAGTTGCCTGCCTTTATAAGCTTCAGTTTCCTTGTCTATAGAATGAGGTTAATAACAGTATTTACCTAATGGAGGGGCTCTGCCAAAAATGAGATAGTGTATAGAAAATGTTAATAGATCTTGGCCAATGTGACCCAAAAGCCAGGTGTGCTCCCTTGGAAGAAGGTGTTTCCTCATGATAGTAACCTGTTGAGCATCATACTGAGGATTTGTGTAAGAATGGAATCCCATGGAGTAAGTGTCCACACTGGAGGTGGAGAGTAGGGTGGGGTGAAGGTGAAGGCTGTGGATTTATTCCTTAGTATAATGGTCATCACCAGCAATGTTGAGAGACAGTGTCCTACCAAACTTAGAAGTAAAATGACCTGAATTAAAATCTGACTTTTCCCACTTGCTGCTTTCTTCACTTCTTTGAGTTTCAGTTCCCTCTTCTGTAATTCTGGAGTCACAGCAAACAGCTCATTGAGTTGTTGGTAGGATTATACATTATTTAAAACACAAAGACTTGATATAGTGGGGGTCCCGTGGTGTGGGTTCACTAAATGGTAACAATTGAGATGGTGACCAGTGATCTTCACAATGCAACACTGTGTGATTTATGAGGCAGCATTGCAATTTTGACCACAGATTGTGAGGCAAGCTGAAAAATGTACCATTACTACCACTTTACAGATGAGAGAACAGAGGCAGAGAGGTAAAGTTAGTTGCCTGAGGACCCACAGTTGGTCAGGAGTAGGGGTGGAATTTTAATTCCATGGACCCATGGGCCTGAACGTCCAAGGCAATCCTGGGACCTGACTTGAAACTAAGACCACAAGCTTCCCTTCATGGGAAGCTCTAAGGAATCATGATGCTGTGGATAAGACCCTTGTCTCCTCTCCCAGGAGCCATCAGGAAGAGGAGGCCAGGGAAATGGGCTTGGGTCGGTTTGTGGAAAATTTAGGTTAAGACTCAGAGGCAACCTGATAATACCTCTGGGAGTTCAACACATCATAGCCTGAGCCTGACCTGGGAAGCCCTTGTAGAATTTGCAGTCAGATGAGGAAAAGAGCATACATGCACAAAACCCCAAAGAACTGATTTAAATACCACTTATGTCTTAATGACTCACAAAATTGTGTTTCCAGCCCTAATCTGACTCCCAAACTCCACTATCAGCTCTACATCTCCACTTGGACCTCGCGAACATCTCATGTTGAACTTGCTTAAACAGAACCTTGGGCCAGGCACAGTAGCTTACACCCGTAATCCCAGCACTTTGGGAGGCTGAGGCAAGAGGATCACTTGGGCTCAGGAGTTTGAGACCAGCCTAGGCAGCATAGTGAGACCCAATTTCTACGATCAACAACAAAAAAACAAAAACAAAAAAAAACAACCAAAAACACAACAACAAAAAAACAGGCATAGTGTCACGCGCCTGTGGTCCCAGCTACTCAGGAGGCTGGGAAGATCACTTGAGAAGGTAGGAAGATCACTTGAGCTGGGGAAGTTGAGGCTTAGTTGGGTGACAGTGGGAAACCCTGTCTAAAAAAAGAAAAATAAGCTAAACATAAACATAAACCAGTACCTCTTACCATCACTCCCCTAACGCAAACCTGTTCTATCCATGCTTCTCATCTTGATTGAAAAACTTCACAATCACACTTGATGCCTCTCTTTATCAATTAACATCCATTAAGTTAGGAAATAATTTTAGTTCTACCTTGAAAGTAGATCCCAAATCTGTTAAAACCTTACCACCTCCGCAGCTGCCACCCTGATCTGAGGAGCCATCTTCTTACTTGGATTACCCCAAAAGCCTCCTAAAATGTCTCCTTGCTTCTATCCTCCTTACAATCTATTATCAAAACAGTAGTTACAATGACCCTTTCAAAACATGAGTCAGGCCATATCACTTATCTACTGAGAACACTGCGATGGATCCCCATTTCATTCTAATAAAACCAAATACCCTAAAATGGCTTACACTGATTTGTGTAGATTTCACATAATTATCCCCATTTTATAGAGAAGGAAACTCACTAAGTAGCAGGACTGGGACTTTACCATGGGGCTTAAGGCACCAAGCCCAGCACGCTCTCTACCACATCCCATGATGTGATGAGACATTTCATTCTTCCACAGCCTATTGGAGATGGATAGGGTAGGGTGAACCAAGTTGCAGAAAGGGATACTAGCTTTGAAGAGAAGGAAAGGCTCTTTGAAGGGTGGTGGGATGGAGGTGAGGTTTTAAGAAGCTCACATTTGCTCTTATTTTAGTTAAGGATGGACAATGCCCACTCTTCCCTGTCACTGGACGTAAGGAGTGTCCACCTTCATGTCACAGTGACATCGATTGTCCCCAGACAGACAAATGTTGTGAATCCAGGTGTGGCTTTGTTTGTGCCAGGGCCTGGACAGGTAAGGACTGGGGATATACCTCCCAAATCTATTGTGCATGTGGCAAGGATGCCATGCTGTCTCATGGAGTGGGGGGGGGTGTCTTGAACCTCGGATGCCCCTTGGGCTCATCTTTGAGGATCCTTTGGAGCCCCTTTTAATGCCCAACAAGTTATATTGACCTCTGAAGACTATTGTGCTATTCTTCAAAGCCAATAATTCATAGTATTGCTCTCTATTCTTCCCCAGGAAAACTTATTTTTTCCGAGTCTCATTCCTCAATGACTTGCAAGGTGACAATATTCACCAATTCATAAAAGATTCATAACCATGAGGTGTATTCCTAATAAGCCTTCATGTCTGCACAGAACTTCAGAGCATGCACATCATATTCATATTGTGTAAGACAGGCTGGGGAAAACATCAGTAGCAAATGATGTTGGATAGAAGCCAACTTTCCTGCCTCCTATAAGGCAGGTGTTTACTCCCCTGTGTAGTCCCAGGGATTGTCCAGGTATGGCTTTAAGGTTCTAAGGTTCAGTATAGCGTGGTGGCAGGAGTCAAAGGCTTTTCAACCTACTTCAACTTTTCTACTGGCTTTCTATGTGGCATTGGGCAACTCATTTCCCTCTAAATACTCCTCAATGCCTACAATTTATAAAACAAGAAGGTTCTGTGTGCTATCTAATACTCCTGCTACTTGTGGTTTTCTGGGGTTATATAACCCAGATCCATTAATTCTGTAGCAGCAGACAGGAATCCTATCAGATGGTACAAGTCAGAGATGGCAAGACTTTTCTTGATGCTCCTCAAGTTATCATAGAAAGTTGATACTCTGCCTCCTCCAGTCTATTGTTACTATAGGGGGAAAGGCAAGAATCTTAATCAGAATAAAACCTTGTTTGAGTTTCCCAAGATTCCCCAAATTTGTCTCAAATTATGACCAGGTATTTCAAGGTCAAGTGTTTTCTTTTACCCCATAAAGTCAAACAAGGTTTCTGCCCACGCAAGCCCTTGCTATGTGCCCAGATCGATAAACCCAGGTGCCTGCAGGATGATGAGTGCCCATTGGTGGAAAAGTGCTGCTCACTTTGTGGACTGAAATGTACGGATCCCAAGCATTGAATAGTAAGTAGAAAATATTATCATCAAAATCATTAATTATGAGTAGCATAATAAAGACCTGTCAGTTTTGTCTTGCATCCAACTTGCCAAATTATCTTAAGTATCACAATATTGAATGATGTTACTTTGATTTTATATATAATCCCATCATCTGAAAGTGATGATATATTTGACTTTTTTCAACTTCATGACTTTATTTTCTTGTCTTCTTGTGTTGTATAGAAGCTCCAAAATAATAATGAAAATAAAGGCAATGGCATCCATCCTTGTCTAGTTCCTTATTTTAAAGTCAATGTCTCCTGCAATATAAAAAGATATTTGTTGTTGAATTTGGAATGCATAAGTTTTATTGCACTTAAATTATTTTCTTTTTTCTTTTCTTTTTTTTTTTTGAGATGGAGTTTTGCTCTTGTTGCCCAGGTGTGATCTCGGCTCACTGCAATCTCTCCTTCCCGGGTTCAAGTGATTCTCCTGCCTCAGCCTCCCAAGTAGCTGGGATTACAAGCGCCTACCAACATGCCTGGCTAATTTTTTGTATTTTTAGTAAAGACGGGGTTTCACCATGTTGGCCAGGCTGGTCGCTAACTCCTGACCTCGGGTGATCCACCCGCCTCGGCCTCCCAAAGTGCTGGGATCACAGGTGGGAGCCACCGTGCCTGGCCAGTTATTTTCTTTTTAAGCTTATTTCCTGTCCATTTATAGCTACTACTGAAAATGACTGCTGAATTTTATCAAATACCTTTTAAGCATACAGTCACATAATTATTTTTCTCTTCTAATTTGTTGGCATAATAAATTATTAAATTTTCTTGAGTCATCCTTGCATTCTTAATAAACTTAATTGCAGTGTGATGTATCAATATATTATTGGTTCTTTTTAGCTAATAGTATAGTTTGAATTTTCACATCTATAGTCAAAAGAAAAATAGGTCTTTTTAAATTTGTTTTTCCTATTTGGGTCATATTACTTTCAAAAAATGAGTATGGGAACTAATTGGGCAACCTATCTACTTTTTCTATGCTCTGAAATATTTTACATAATATAGCAATTCAGTGTTTTTTGAAGGCTACCAAAATTCAGCTCCAAAAGCATCTAGATCAGGTTCTTTCTAGTGGTATATTTTAGTAATTTTTAAATATTTTGTCTTATAGTCTGCAGATTTTCTACCTCCTCTTCTGCAAATTTTGGTCTTTTGTATTTTGGTAAAATTGATCCATTTTCCCTATATTTTCACATGTATTACTTTAGAGTAGTATACATTGTTCTCTAGATAATTCTTTTTAATTTTCGTTAATGCTTTTACTTGTACATTCATGTTTCCACCCACCTATTTACTCACTAATTATTCAATCCCTTTACTTACCTATCCATTCACTCAACACATATGCAAATACCCAATCCCCACTCACCTATCCCTCCTATCCTTCCACTGACACACTTTTCAACTTAGCTCTTTGCCCACTCCATATGTCTATCCACTTACCTTTCTTACTCATCTTTCTTCTACAGACTCACTTGTCCATCTAGCCTTTAGTTAATCCTCCTATTATTGACCTCTCTCCTCTCCCTTTCTCTGCACACACACGCACACACTCTTTCATACCCATCAAAATACATATTCATCATTTCTATACTTAACTCTCTCCATCCACATACCAATGCACTTATCCACCTTTCATTCAAACAGCCTCCATCAATAGGCCCACCTATCCCATCACTACCCTATCCATCTTTACATTCAATTCAATCCACTTATTCACCCAATCATCCACTCATCCATAATCCATGCATTCATGGATCAAATATCCATGCTTTCTTCACTAATCTTTCTCCCTGCTCAACCATCTTCCAACTTATCACTCTACCGGCCACCCATCCATCCACATAGCTACCTACCTATTCACACACCTACCAATCCCCCCACCTACCTTGCTCATCCAGCAAGATGTACCTGAGTGTTTATTTGGGGTCTATTCATGTTTTAAGCACTGCGTTCTAGACAGAGACCTGTTTGATGGAGTTTGGAGCTTACCTGGGGGAGCAAATATATAACTTAGTAATACAGTTAGAGGCAGAGGGAACAACACAGGAAGGCAGTGACAGAGAATCAGTCCATGTGACAGGTCTTGGGCTAATGAAAAAGCAGGAGGTGTCAGGTACAGGCTGGTCTGGTTGGTTCTCGTTGGGGTCCCCTGTTCTAAGCACAGGATTGTTCCTGGGAGAGAATTGGCCTGGAGGCAGAGGTAGGACACCATGCCCCTCAATGAGAGAGGATGAAGAAAGGAGAGGCAAAACCCCAGATGGGTCCTCACCCAGCCTCCTCCAAGAAATTATTGGAGAGAAGGAGCCAAAACCATGATTCATCCCAAGTCCCAAAGACATAAATTTTATTTCATTTGCTTGGAAAGTGAGACGCATGGATGGGCCTGAAAATTAGGCAAGACAGAATGGAATGAAACAACCAGAAAGATAGTTAATTTATTTTCAATAAAATTTATGAAAAAATGCAGCCCTAATTGGGGACCCTGGGTACCATTTAGAAATATACTGACTTTGTGGGTGTTCAGCCTCTGTCTCCACTAAAGACATTACTTCATTCCTTTAGACTCACCCTTCCTCTCTACCTTCAACTCTACAGGAAAATATTATATCCACACCAACATCAAAACATGCCCTAGTGTCCTCTGGCAAGAACTTTCATGCTCAGTTCCCTCTTAATCTTATTTCTCACACTCACTTGCTGGGTGACATTTAGTCAGTATCCTCACTTCTGTGGGCCTTATGATTCCCATCTATAAAATGAGAAATAGGGCTTGATGGTCCCTCAGAGCACTTCCACTTAGATATTCCAGTTTTCACTCTCTCCTGGGCTGAGTTTGTTAGAATATGGGAAATGAAATGAGTGAAACAGCACTGCTTAGGACATCTTGCTTGTTCATTAGAAATTCTAGCCAGGCCTGGTGGCTCATGCTTGTAATCCCAACTCTTTGGGAGGCTTAGCGGGCAAATTGCTTGAGGCCAGGAAGTGGAGACCAGCCTGGCCAAGGGCGATACCTCATCTCTACTAAAAAATACAAAAATTAGCAGTGCATGGTGGTGCATGCCTGTAATCCCAGCTACTCAGGAGGCTGAGGCACAAATTGCCTGAACTGGTGAGGTAGAGGTTGCAGTCAGCTGAGATTGTGCCACTGCACTCCAGCCTGGATGACACAACAAAACTGTCTTTAAAAAATAAAAGAAAAGAAAAGAAAAGAAAGGAAAGGAGAAGAGAAGAGAAGACAAGAGAAGACAAGAGAAGAGCAAAACAAAGAACAATTCAAATTTGGTAGTCTCTTTAAGTGAGATTGTCAAGTTGGTGGCATGGGACTGTTATGGGGGCTCTGTCTCTGATACTAAATTTTGTGACCATATAGTCACTCTCTGATGATAAGGTTGTCTTTCTCTGGCCTGTGTCTGTCATGTAGGAATATTTGGAGAACAAACTTGGCCCAAAAGGGTAACACCTAGTTTGAGAAGAAAACGGGAGCCCTAGGGATAACATTTACTCTGGAAAGAGTGCCTCTCTCCTTCCCAGGACTGGCTGAGTGGCCGGTGAAGATTCCATGGCTGTAGGAATGGAAAGCTGTCCAAGTACCCCAGCACCTCTTTCCCACAGCTCCTCTCCTAGCCCAGTCAGAATCCCCAAAGTCTGCTGTGTTACTGAACTTTATTCCACTGTAGTCTCTCAGGCAAATCCCTTCATGACATAGTTCCTCAGCTATGAAGGAGCTTGCATTGATGATAAAGGCTCCCTCTAAGATCTGATATTCTCTCTTGCTCTCAGAGCCACGAAACTTTGAGAAACAGTTTCTGAAGACTCTGCTATCAGCCTGATTCCTCCCTTACACCCTGTTCTGTGGCAAATCTTTATTCTTTGGCCTTAGTCAATGAATATGAGTGAACCAAAGATAAAACCAAAGACAGAAGGATGGGAGGAAACTGTGGAAGAGGGAGAAAGGAACACAGAGACCATGGGGAAAGAGAAACAGACTTAGGCACAGAGAGGCACAGATAAACAATGAGATACCAATAGACCGACAGGGACACATTGTCAGAGACAAGCAGAAGGGGTGCGCCCATAAGTGCGCACGTACGATGGAAAATGAATGAAGAATGAGGACACTCCACCACTCTCCAAGTTAACAAGATGAAGACCCAAGATGGTGGCATTCACTCTGAAGGCAGCCTGGAAAGTGGGAGACAAGCTTTGTCCACTCCCTGGGGTTGACTAGAGCCCTCAGCCCAGTGCAGCCTAGGGGTGCAAGGATCAAGATCCATTCGATGAGAGACCCTTCCTCCCAAGCTGTGAGCTGTGGGTGCCAGTTAGTCCCATTTGTGACCTTGGGAACTTAGTGTTCCCAGAAGAAAGGGGGTGGCCGGCTTGTCTCCAGTTCTTATATCCAAGGTGCAGCAGCTGAGTATTCCAAATTCTGGAACCACCAGAAAGGCTGGCCTCTCTTCAGCATGGGATCTTCGGGACTTTTGAGCCTCCTGGTGCTATTCATCCTCTTAGCGAATGTCCAGGGACCTGGTCTGACTGATTGGTTATTTCCCAGTAAGTATTGGCCTCAGCCCTTACCCTAGAGAGAGGGGAGTCTGCTGGGAGGAAGGAACAGGGAACAACTCTTCAGATCTGGGTTGCTTTCCACCATCTTAGCCCAGGTCTCGGGTTGGGAGAGGAGAGAGATCTTTGTAAGATCCCTCCTGTGGAAGATCCCTTCTGGGAATGCAGTAACCCCGACTTAGGCAATCCCCACTTTCAGCCCCTTTGAAGTGGAGGGCCTTTATCAAGGAGGTGGAGGAGAGTCATAGGATCTAGCTTTCAGGGGAGTTGCTACAGGAATCCGGGAAACCAAGGGACCTTCTCCTTACCCCGCGAGCAAAACAGGCCCCTTCCTTGAGGCATCATCTCTATTCAATCCTGGTTCTTTCAAATGTGGTCCCATAAAGTGTCCCTGTATCTCTAGGGGCTCACTGCTTTGAGATAAAGGACAGCATCCAGAAGTGCCTTTAAACTTCAGACACTAATATTCCATGACTATAATGTAACAATGATCATTATTATCATTTGCTGAACACTCAGGAAGTAAGGATTTCTGAAAAGGGATGTTAAAACTACAGAGGGATCTGGAATCAGACTTAGTGGGTTCAAATCTTGGTAGCCCTGTAATCTTGGGCAAGTTACTTACATTTTGTGGGCCTCAGTTTCTAAAGCACATGGGTGTGAAACTGCTCCTTCCCTAGGGAGATGTCCCACAATCAGAGAACAGCTGCGGAAAAAAATGTTTAGATCTCAAACAAGGTAACATTCAGAGCCGCAGAATAACCAACCCCTCCTCCCCCTGTCCTCACCTTCTGCCGTCCTGGACTGGCTTTGTGCCCTGATCGCTGAGGGCTGGTCTCTGGCAAAACTACTGGACTTCGGAGACCTGCAATTTAGATTCATTACTGTGCCAAATATGGTGTGTGCCATTAGTAATGACCTTTTCCTATCAGGTGATGCCTGAGACTCAGTTTCCCAAAACAAATGACTGGTGAAGGAGTGGCATTGAATCAGATTCTTTTGGCTATTTGGATACCTGTCACTCTTATAATTTTTTGAGCCCCAGGTGGCCATTGTTGCCCTAACATATACAACATCATTGCTGCAAGTGATAAATGAAGCAATTTATATTTCCTAACTTTTTTGCTATGGAGTGACCACCTCTCTGCCTACACAAATCCAGCTTTGCACCAAAACACCTCTCCTGACTGCTGCACAACAGACGGCTTTTCCTTTCTGCTGCATCTTAATTTCATGCCCATCTCCCTGGGATGCAAAAAGACTGACTATCGAAGATCTTTTTTTATTCATTCAACAAATATTTATTGAGTGCCTCTGAGACCCACAATAGGATTTGATCTGCTCAGTGTGGTCAGGGAGGTTGGGATTGCCTTCTCTGAGAAAGCAAATCTGGAGTTGAGTTGAGAAAGATGGGTAATGTTTTAGGCAAAAAGTGGGTGGAAGGGTTTTCCAGGCACAGGGAGTAGCATGCACAAAGGCTCAATGGTGGGGCCTGGGGAGGCCAGAATGCAGAGTGAGCACGAGCATGGGACAAGGAAAACAGATTCTGGGTGGGCAGAGATCAAACGATTCAAGTATGGTGGACCAGATTAAAGAGTATGGCCTGGATCGAAGGGCCATGGCAATCCACTGAGGCAGGGCATCACATGACCAGTTTCATACTACATCTATAGAGTTTAAAATAGGAGGAACAGAGTATCTTAAAGGACTTCAAGGTGATAGAAATGGTGACTGGAACTAGAGGTAGCTGAGGGGATGAAGAAGAGTAGGACGTGCTCGAAAGGTATGTAGGAGGTAAAGTAAACAGGACTTGACAGAGAAGTAGAGTGGGCAGGTTAGGGGGCTAAGTCACTCATATGCTAGCAGGTAAGGATTCTGAATTCAGACCTCCTGAGTTCAACTCCTACCTCCAGTTTTTACCAGTCTTTTTGTCTTGGATAAATTAACAACTTTCCCTCACTGTGCCTCAGTTTTCTGAGATAATAAAAGGATCAGTGTAGAAGGTTATTTTGAGGATCCAATTGACCTGCATGATGTGCTTAGAGCAATGCCTGGCACATAGTAGCCACCTGATACCTATTTGCTTATTTGTAATTCTTGGCTAAGGGCTCCTAAATAGCAGAGGTCATGCCTTTTCTCTGTTCCTTGAAGCATTAGGCACATAACAGGTGCTCAATGAATAATTTATTCAGTTTAGAACAGGATACATTTTCTTTTACCCTCAACATTCTATAAGGTTCTGTACTGTGCCAAGCTACCTATTAGGAACTGGGATGCCAAGATGGAAGCAGACACACTAGAAACTCACTCCCTGCTCGCCAGAAACTCACAGCCTCAGGGATGACACTGAAGATATAAACAAATGAAAAATGAGTGCACAGATTCTGAAGCAAGGTGTGGCAGTGAGGACTGTAGAATGGAGTCAAGGGAGACATCACAACAGTTGATGTGTGAGAAAGGTTTTGAAGGAAGAAGAGGAATGTCACTGTGAGCAGTGCAAAGGGATGGAGGTATGGGGGTGGCACGGGGTGTTCAGTATTGCTGGAGCATGTGGCTGGAAGGGGTTCTGTGTCAGGGGAGGAGGCCAGCGTCACAGTAGGAGCCAGACAATGAAGGGCCCTGTGGGTCATGGGAGGATATTGTCATGAAGTGAAGGTAGGTCTTATCTGTGGAATGACATGATAAGCCTGGTTCTCAGATCCATCAGATCCTTCCCTGTGGTGGGAAGCATGAATGATTGATTGGAGGGGCCAGGACTGGAGGCAGGGGATCAATCTGAGGTTATCTCAACAGTCCAGGCATGAGACAGTCCCTGAGGCTTATATTAGAGAGACTGGCAGAGAGGTGAGCTATAGGAAGTAAAAATCAACAGGACCTCATTGTTTAGCAGTGGAGATTAACCCAAATGGAACTGTGTAAGCATAATTTAGCAGGGACCTGCGTTTGTTTGGTAGAATTGCTATAACAAAGTACCACTGACTGGGAATCTTAAATAACAGAAATGTATTGTCTCAGGTTCCTCAGGCTAGATCCAAAGTCATGGTGTCAGCACGGTTGGTTCCTTGTCAGGGTTATGGGGAAGAAGCATGTTCCATTCCTCTCCCCTAGCTTCTGGTGGTTTGCTGAAAATCTTTGGTGTTCTTTGGCTTGTAGACACAGCACCCCAATCTCTGCTTTCACATTCATACGGTGTTCTCCCAGTGTGTTTGCATCTGTCCAAATTAACCTGTTTTTATAAGGACACCAGTCATGTTGGTATAGGGGCCCACCCTATTTTTGTCTGACCTTATTTTAGCTAATGTCACCTGCAATAACCTTATCTCCAGGGATGCAGATGCCCACTCTGGGGTCTCCTTGCACATGTGTGCAATATGTCAGTGGAGCTGTGCTCCTGCCGTGTGATAAGGGAAAAGGAGCCAATTCCGGTTCCATCTATAGTGGTTGCCAGGGAGAATAATAACAACTGTTTATTTCTGGAGTGGGCACACTGAGTTTTCAACTCTGGAGTCTTTCTGCAGATGTATGTGAAATGCCAAATGAAACTGGCCCCTGCCTGGCTTTTTTTATTCGGTGGTGGTATGACAAGAAAAATAATACTTGCTCCACATTTGTCTATGGTGGCTGCCAGGGAAACAATAACAACTTCCAATCCGAAGCCAACTGCCTGAACACCTGCAAGAATAAACGTGAGTCCTAGGGGCCCCGGTCTTTCATCCTCTGCAGTCTCATGCTGGGAGGTCTGGGTGTTGACTGGTCCTTTCCAGGACAGCTACGTCTTTGGCAGACCTGCTGCTGACAGAACCAGCTCCGATCACGAGGTAAAAATGTACCTGGCAAAGCGGTAGACAAAGCTACTTTCTGGCAACTGAGGATGAGAAGGGATGTAGAAGTAATCAAGGCTGGCAAGTATGGGGGGAGTTAGGAGGGCTGGAGGAAGGGTGTAGAAGTGGTGAAGTCTCAGAGATGAATTGCAGAAGAGGCACAGGACGTTAAACCTAGACACGCTGACCAACCAACCCTTCCAAGCCATCAATGTCTCAACATAGCTGTTTGCCAGCAAGTCACTCCTATTTGTTTTTCCTTGAAGGAGATGGAGAGCTCCCCAAAGCAAACCCACTTCTTTTTAGTGTTTTTCTGTGCAAAGATGTATAAGCATAACTTCAAGCTCCAAAGATAAGCTGAACCCAAGATACTCACCTGTTTCTGTCCTACGTTCTCTGCAGGCTTTCCCTGATTGGATAAGGATGGGCTGGAAGAACTACCAGAGTGTGTGGCTCATGCTCTGAGGACTGTTCGTGTACTTGACTGATGCTCCAGATTGACTTCCAGTTTCACTCGCAGCATCCCAAGATCTTAGCCCTTTGCCAAACAGAACCCTTGCATCTCCCTCCTTTTCCTCCATCTTTGGCTCTTTTGATGCACAATATCCTTCCGTTTTGATTTCATCTTTATGTCCCCTTTATCTCCAACTTCTAGAGCTCCCAGCTTATATCTGTGTCACTCTCAATTGTTTCCAATAAAGAACATGATGTAATCCTGTGCCTCTGAGGCTGAGTAATTGACATCTTTTTGGCACATTACACTTTGCAGAGTAAGGGATCATTGAGGCTTCTGGTGACATCATTCAAGGGAGTGAAGACAATCAGAACTTTGAGAGTTGAGAGCTCCAGGAATATTGTTATTGTTATCTTCTTCTGTTTCCACAAAAGATTGTAAAACCCTTTTTAGGCAAGGACCCAAGGACAATGCCTTAGTTTGGATCCTCTACAAACTAACCCTGGGAAAAGGGCATGGGTGCATGTAGTTTGTTTGAAAGATCGCCCAAGACATACAAGATGGGGAGTGGGATGAGTAATTCAGAGAAGAGAAGGGAAGAGGGAAGAATCTATTAGGAGCTTGGTACCACTGTGGCTGAATCCTACTGGTGACCTTTTTAAGAATCGCGTACAACAGGCTTACAAATTTTCTTTTTAAAAATATTTTATTTTATTTTAATTCTGGGATACATGTGCAGGACCTGCAGGTTTGTTACATAGGTAAGCCTGTGCCATGGTGGTTTGCTGCACCTATCAACCTATCACCTGGGTATTAACCCCGCATGCATTAGCTATTTATCCTGATGCTTTCCCTCCCTCTGCCCCCTCCACAGGCCACAGTATGTGTTGTTCCCCTCCCGATGTCCATGTGTTCTCACTGTTCAGCACTCACTTACAAGGGAGAACGTGCGGTATTTAGTTTTGTTCCTGCGTTACTTTGCTGAGGATAATGGCTTCCCGCTTCATCCATGTCCCTGCAAAGGACGTGATCTCACTTTTTTTTATGGCTGCATAGTATTCCATGGTATATATGTACCACATTTTGTTTATGCAGCCTATTGGTGATGCACATTTGGGTTGATTCCATGTTTTCGCTATTGTAAATACTGCTGCAGTGAACAAACTCATGTATGTATCTTTATAAAAGAATGATTTATATTCCTTTGAATGTATACCCAGTAATGGGATTGCTGGGTCAAATGGTATTTCTGGTTCTAGATCTTTCAGGAATTGGCACACTGGGAGCCGCCGATTAAGGCCCCCTTCCCCCAGGGTAGGTACCAGGTAGTCCCACTGATGGCCTCAGGGATCTGGTGTTCCTGACGGGGGAGTCTGGCTGGCTTGTCTCCATGACTGTCTCTTGGAGTGCTGGGCCACATCGGGGCCGGCAAAGCGCAGAGGTAGGAGCTGCTGAGCAGCAGTTCTTAGTTTTGGTGCCATCAACCGGGCTAGTACTTCCTAAAATGGGACTCTCAGGACTTCTGCCAATCCTGGTACCATTCATCCTGTTGGGGGACATCCAGGAACCTGGGCACGCTGAAGGGATCTTTGGCAGTAAGTACTGGGGACTCAGTCCTTGCAACGGAGGAAGGAAATTCGGTGGGGAGGAAGGAACAAACAACAATTTTGCAGTTGAGCAATTATTTTCTCCACCTGTGCCTGGAATTCCGGGTGGGAAAGACGGGAGCTATTTGGAGTCTCTTGGTAAGAGACTCCCTTGGTGAATATAGGCATCCGAATCTGTGGCAACTAACTCCTTGTTGCCATTTCAAAAAGTTCTTCCTGGAGGTGCCTGGACCTAGAGCTCATGAAATGAACTGAGAAAGAGTAGTAAGCCCAAGGAAGTCTCCCATAAGAAAAACAGCCTGCTCCCCACAGCACTACCTGTGTCAGCTTCCAAATGTTCTCATTGCAGCCCCCACACCCACACCTACAGAGGATCCTAGCCCTTGGGGTAAAGAATGGACTCCAGAAGTCTCTTGGAATGCTGAAATGTGAAGACTCACAATTAGCAGCTAACTGTACTGAGCACTGAAAATTAGTGGTTGAAAGTGAGCACTCAGGAGCCACACATTGTAGGTTCAAATCCTGGCTCCATCCCTGAGTAGCTGTGTGACCTTGGGCAAATTCACATAACCTCCTTGTGCTTCCAATTCTTCTGTTTATAAAATGTGAATATTAAGAGTACTTACCTATAGATCTGTTTAAAAAAAAAGAAAAGAAGAAAATACAAGAAAAAAGAAAAGGAAAGGAAAAGAAAAGAAAAAGAAGAAAAAGACGAAAAAAGAGAAGAGAAAAGCAAAGAAAAATTCGATTCAGTAGTCTCTTTAGGTGAGATTGTCAAGTTGGTGGCATGGGATTCTTATGGGGGCTCTGTCTCTGAAACTAAATTTAGTGACCTCATAGTCACTCTCTGATGATAAGGTTGCCTTTCTCCGGCCTCTGTCTGTCATGTAGGAATATTTGGAGAACAAACTTGGCCCAAAAGGGTAACACCTAGTTTGAGAAGAAAACGGGAGCCCTAGGGATAACATTTACTCTGGAAAGAGTGTCTCTCTCCTTCCCAGGACTGGCTGAATTGCCGGTGAAGATTCCATGGCTGTAGGAATGGAAAGCTGTCCAAGTACCCCAGCACCTCTTTCCCACAGCTCCTCTCCTAGCCCAGTTAGAATCCCCAAAGTCTGCTGTGTTACTGAACTTTATTCCACAGTAGTCTCTCAGGCAAATCCCTTCATGACATAGTTCCTCAGCTATGAAGGAGCTTGCATTGATGATAAAGGCTCCCTCTGAGCTCTGATATCCTCTCTTGCTCTTAGAGCAACAAAACTTTGAGAAACAGTCTCTGAAGACTCAGCTATCAACGTGATTCCTCCCCTACACCCTGCTCTGTGGCAAATCTTAAATCTTTGGCTTTAGTCAAAGAATATGAGTGAACCAAAGATAAAATAAAAGACAGAAGGATGGGAAGAAACTGTGGGAGAGGGAGAAAGGAACACAGAGACCATGGGGAAAGAGAAACAGACTTAGGCACAGAGAGGCACAGATAAACAATGAGATACCAAGGGACTGACAGGGACACATTGTCAGAGACAAGCAGAAGGAGTGCGCTCGTAAGTGCACACGTACGATGTAAAATGAATGATGAGGACACTCCACTGCTCTCCAAGTTAACAAGATGAAGACCCAAGATGATGGCATTCACCGGAAGGCAGCCTGGAAAGTGGGAGACAAGCTTTGCCCACTCCCTCGGGTTGACTAGAGCCCTAGCCCAGTGCAGCCTAGGGGTGTAAGGATCAAGATCCATTCAATAAGAGACCCTTCCTCCCAAGCTGTGAACTGTGGGTGTCAGTTAGTCCCATTTGTGACCTTGGGAACTTAGTGTTCCCAGAAGAAAGGGGGTGGCCGGCTTGTCTCCAGTTCTTATATCCAAGGTGCAGCAGCTGAGCATTCCAAATTCTGGAACCACCAGAAAGGCTGGCCTCTCTTCAGCATGGGATCTTCTGGACTTTTGAGCCTCCTGGTGCTATTCATCCTCTTAGTGAATGTCCAGGGACCTGGTCTGACTGATTGGTTATTTCCCAGTAAGTATTGGCCTCAGCCCTTACCCTAGAGAGAGGGGAGTCTGCTGGGAGGAAGGAACAGGGAACAACTCTTCAGATCTGGGTTGCTTTCCACCATCTTAGCCCAGGTCTCGGGTTGGGAGAGGAGAGAGATCTTTGTAAGATCCCTCCTGTGGAATATCTCTTCTGGGAATGCAGTAACCCCGACTTAGGCAATCCCCACTTTCACCCCCTTTGAAGTGGAGGGCCTTTATCAAGGAGGTGGAGGAGAGTCACAGGATCTAGCTTTCAGGGGAGTCACTACAGGAATCCGGGAAACCAAGGGACCTTCTCCTTACCCCGTGAGCAAAACAGGCCCCTTCCTTGAGGCATCATCTGTATCCACTCCTGGTTCTTTCAAATGTAGTCCCATAAAGTGTCCCTGTATCCCTAGGGGCTCCCTACTTTGAGATAAAGGACAGCATGCAGAAGTTCCTTTAAACTTCAGACACTAATATTCCATGACTATAATGTAACAATGATCATTGTTATCATTTGCTGAATACTCAGGAAGAAAGGATTTCTGAAAAGGGATTTTAAAACTTCAGAGGGATCTGGAATCAGACTTAGTGGGTTCAAATCTTGGTAGTCCTGTAATCTTGGGCAAGCTCGTTAAATTTCGTGGGCCTCAGTTTCCACATCTGTAACATGGGGATATTAATAGAACTTCCTTCATAGAGCGATTATAAAGATTAAATGAGATCATACACTTAAAATGCTTAGAAGAGTGCTCGGCTTATGGTAAATACTTAGCAAATGTTAGATAATATGACTGCGCATCTGTTACTCGGATGAGGGCTTTATATACTTTGTCTCATTTTTTTCTCACAACTCCGTAAGGTCAAAATGATTTTACAGATGATGAAACCAAGGTTCAGGTCAGAATTCAGACCAAGAGTCAGAATTCAAAATCTTAACTGGCTCCGGGGTAAGTGATACTAATTGCTGTTTAATACCACCACCTAGAGGAACTTCCAAACACCGATTCCTCAACAAAGCGAAAAAGACCAGATCAGCTTAATTCAGTGGCCCGCAATTGGGAGATTTTGCCTTCCAGGGGAACTTTGTAGTGCCTGGAGACATTTTCTATTGTTACAATCAGGGGGTGCTACTGGTGTCTGATGGGAAGAGGCCTGGGATGCTGCTGAACATCCTACAATCCCCAGTTCAGCCTCCCCAAAAAAGAATTATCCAGCCCAAATATTACTGGTGGTTGAGAAATTCTGCCTTAGATGGGATGGAGCTGGGGGGGGCGGGTGGGAAGAGAGGGAGGAGTGGTCAGGGGGAAAGGAGGGTGTATGCAGTAGGGAAGTGAGTGAGGCCACCCTGAGGAAAAGAACTCCTGCGGGCAAGCAAAGTGGAAGCAAACTTCCCTGACTCTCTAGAATTGCCTTGTGTCTGGCAAAGCAGGGAGACCCTACGCTCTCTAAGGCACATGGGTGTAAAACTGCTCCTTCCCTAGGGAGATGTCCCACAATCAGAGAAGAATGTGAATTCAGAGAAAGGGATGTGTGTACAAGGCACAGACAATGCCCAGACAACAAGAAGTGCTGTGTCTTCAGCTGCGGAAAAAAATGTTTAGATCTCAAACAAGGTAACATTCAGAGCCGCAGAATAACCAACCCCTCCTCCCCCTGTCCTCACCTTCTGCCGTCCTGGACTGGCTTTGTGCCCTGATCACTGAGGGCTGGTCTCTGGCAAAACTGCTGGACTTCGGAGACCTACAATTTAGATTCATTACTGTGCTAAATATGGTGTGTGCCATTAGTAATGACCTTTTCCTATCAGGTGATGCCTGAGACTCAGTTTCCCAAAATAAATGACTGGTGAAGGAGTGGCATTGAATCAGATTCTTTTGGCTATTTGAATACCTGTCACTCTTATAATTTTTTGAGCCCCAGGTGGCCATTGTTGCCCTAACATATACAACATTGTTGCTGCAAGTGATAAATGAAGCAATTTATATTTCCTAACTTTTTTGCTATGGAGTGACCACCTCTCTGCCTACACAAATCCAGCTTTGCACCAAAACACCTCTCCTGACTGCTGCACAACAGAGGGCTTTTCCTTTCTGCTGCATCTTAATTTCATGCCCATCTCCCTGGGATGCAAAAAGACTGACTATCGAAGATTTTTTTTATTCATTCAACAAATATTTATTGAGTGCCTCTGAGACCCACAATAGGATTTGATCTGCTCAGTGTGGTCAGGGAGGTTGGGATTGCCTTCTCTGAGGAAGCAAATCTGGAGTTGAGTTGAGAAAGATGGGTAATGTTTTAGGCAAAAAGTGGGTGGAAGGGTTTTCCAGGCACAGGGAGTAGCATGCACAAAGGCTCAATGGTGGGGCCTGGGGAGGCCAGAATGCAGAGTGAGCACGAGCATGGGACAAGGAAAACAGATTCTGGGTGGGCAGAGATAAAACAATTCAAGTATGGTGACCAGATTAAAGAGTATGGCCTGGATCGAAGGGCCATGGCAATCCACCGAGGCAGGGCATCACACGACCAGTTTCATACTACATCTATAGGGTTTAAAATAGGAGGAACAGAGTATCTTAAAGGACTTCAAGGTGATAGAAATGGTGACTGGAACTAGAGGTAGCTGAGGGGATGAAGAAGAGTAGGACGTGCTCGAAAGGTATGTAGGAGGTAAAGTAAACAGGACTTGGCAGAGAAGTAGAGTGGGCAGGTTAGGGGGCTAAGTCACTCATATGCTAGCAGGTAAGGATTCTGAATTCAGACATCCTGAGTTCAACTCCTACCTCCAGTTTTTACCAGTCTTTTTGTCTTGGATAAATTAACAACTTTCCCTCACTGTGCCTCAGTTTTCTGAGATAACAAAAGGATCAGTGTAGAAGGTTATTTTGAGGATCCAATTGATCTGCATGATGTGCTTAGAGCAATGCCTGGCACATAGTATCCACCTGATACCTATTCGCTTATTTGTAATTCTTGGCTAAGGGCTCCTAAATAGCAGAGGTCATGCCTTTTCTCTGTTCCTTGAAGCATTAGGCACATAATAGGTGCTCAATGAATAATTTATTCAGTTTAGATCAGGATACATTTTCTTTTACCCTCAACATTCTATAAGGTTCTGTACTGTGCCAAGCTACCTGTTAGGAACTGGGATGCCAAGATGGAAGCAGACACACTAGAAACTCACTCCCTGCTCGCCAGAAACTCACAGCCTCAGGGATGACACCGAAGATACAAACAAATGAAAAATGAGTGCACAGATTCTGAAGCAAGGTGTGGCAGTGAGGACTGTAGAATGGAGTCAAGGGAGACATCACAACAGTTGATGTGTGAGAAAGGTTTTGAAGGAAGAAGAGGAGTGTCACTGTGAACAGTGCAAAGGGATGGAGGTATGGGGGTGGCACGGGGTGTTGAATATTGCTGGAGCATGCGGCTGGAAGGGGTTCTGTGTCAGGGGAGGAGGCCAGCGTCACAGTAGGAGCCAGATAGTGAAGGGCCCTGTGGGTCATGGGAGGATATTGTCATGAAGTGAAGGTAGGTCTTATCTGTGGAATGACATGATAAGCCTGGTTCTCAGATCCATCAGATCCTTCCCTGTGGTGGGAAGCATGAATGATTGATTGGAGGGGCCAGGACTGGAGGCAGGGGATCAATCTGAGGTTATCTCAACAGTCCAGGCATGAGACAGTCCCTGAGGCTTATATTAGAGAGACTAGCAGAGAGGTGAGCTATTAGGAGGTAAAAATCAACAGGACCTAATTGTTTAGCAGTGGAGATTTACCCAAATGGAACTGTGTAAGCATAATTTAGTAGGGACCTGCATTTGTTTGGTAGAATTGCTATAACAAAGTACCACTGACTGGGAATCTTAAATAACAGAAATGTATTGTCTCAGGTTCCTCAGGCTAGAAGTCCGAGAACATGGTGTCAGCACGGTTGGTTCCTTATTAGGGTTATGGGGAAGAAGCATGTTCCATTCCTCTCCTCTAGCTTCTGGTGGTTTGCTGGCAATCTTTGGTGTTCTTTGGCTTGTAGACACAGCACCCCAATCTCAGCCTTCACATTCATACGGTGTTCTCCCAGTGTGTTTGCCTCTGTCCAAATTAACCTGTTTTTATAAGGACACCAGTCATGTTGGTATAGGGGCCCACCCTATTTTGGTCTGACCTCATTTTAGCTAATGTCACCTGCAATAACTCTATCTCCAGGGATGCAGATGCCCACTCTGGGGTCTCCTTGCACATGTGTGCAATATGTCAGTGGAGCTGTGCTCCTGCCGTGTGATAAGGGAAAAGGAGCCAATTCCGGTTCCATCTATAGTGGTTGCCAGGGAGAATAATAACAACTGTTTATTTCTGGAGTGGGCACACTGAGTTTTCAACTCTGGAGTCTTTCTGCAGATGTATGTGAAATGCCAAATGAAACTGGCCCCTGCCTGGCTTTTTTTATTCGGTGGTGGTATGACAAGAAAAATAATACTTGCTCCACATTTGTCTATGGTGGCTGCCAGGGAAACAATAACAACTTCCAATCCGAAGCCAACTGCTTGAACACCTGCAAGAATAAACGTGAGTCCTAGGGGCCCTGGCCTTTCATCCTCTCCAATCTCATGCTGGGAGGTCTGGGTGTTGACTGGTCCTTTCCAGGACAGCTACATCTTTGGCAGACCTGCTGCTGACAGAACCAGCTCTGATCAGGAGGTGAGAATACACCTGGCAAAGCGGTAGACAAAGCTACTTTCTGGCAACTGAGGATGAGAAGGGATGTAGAAGTAATCAAGGCTGGCAAGTATGGGGGGAGTTAGGAGGGCTGGAGGAAGGGTGTAGAAGTGGTGAAGTCTCAGAGATGAATTGCAGAAGAGGCACAGGACGTTAAACCTAGACACGCTGACCAACCAACCCTTCCAAGCCATCAATGTCTCAACATAGCTCTTTGCCAGCAAGTCACTCCTATTTGTTTTTCCTTGAAGGAGATGGAGAGCTCCCCAAAGCAAACCCACTTCTTTTTAGTGTTTTTCTGTGCAAAGATGTATAAGCATAACTTCAAGCTCCAAAGATAAGCTGAACCCAAGATACTCACCTGTTTTTGTCCTGCGTTCTCTACAGGCTTTCCCTGATTGGATAAGGATGGGCTGGAAGAACTACCAGAGTGTGGCTCATGCTCTGAGGACTGTTCGTGTACTTGACTGATGCTCCAGATTGACTTCCAGTTTCACTCGCAGCATTCCAAGATCTTAGCCCTTCGCCAAACAGAACCCTTGCATCTCCCTCCTTTTCCTTCATCTTTGGCTCTTTTGATGCACAATATCCTTCCGTTTTGATTTCATCTTTATGTCCCCTTTATCTCTAACTTCTAGAGCTCCCAGTTTATACCTGTGTCACTCTCAATTGTTTCCAATAAAGAACATGATGTAATCCTGTGCCTCTGAGGCTGAGTAATTGACATCTTTTTGGCACATTACAACTTTGCAGAGTAAGGGATCATTGAGGCTTCTGGTGACATCATTCAAGGGAGTGAAGACAATCAGAACTTTGAGAGTTGAGAGTTCCAGGGTTATTGTTATCTTCTTCTGTTTCTACAAAAGATTGTAAAACCCTTTTTAGTCAAGGACCAAAGGACAATGCCTTAGTTTGGATCCTTTAGAAAGCAACCCAGGGAACAGGGCATGGGTGCAGGTAGTTTGTTTGAAAGATCTCCCAAGACATACAAGATGGGGAGTGGGATGAGTAATTCAGGGGAGAGAAGGGAAGAGAGAAGAGTCTATTAAGAGCTCGGTACCACTGTGGCTGAATCCTACTGGGGACCTTTTAAAGAATCATGCAAAACCGACTTATAAATTTTCTTTTTAAAAATATTTTATTTTATTTTAAGTTCCAGGATACATTTGCAGGACCTGCAGGTTTGTTACATAGGTAAGCCTGTGCCATGGTGATTTGCTGCACCTATAAACCCATTACCTGGGTATTAAGCCCCACATGCATTAGCTATTTATCCTGATGCTTTCCCTCCCCCTGCCCCGTCCAGAGGCCACAGTGTGTGTTGTTCCCTTCCCCATGTTCATGTGTTCTCATTGTTCAGCTCCCACTTACAAGTGAGAACATGTGGTATTTAGTTTTGTTCCTGCGTTACTTTGCTGAGGATAATGGTTTCCGGCTTCATCCATGTCCCTGCAAAGGACGTGATCTCATTTCTTTTTATGGCTGCATAGTATTCCATGGTATATATGTACCAGATTTTCTTTATGCAGCCTATCGTTGATGGACATTTGGGTTGATTCCATGTTTTCCGTATTGTAAATAGTGCTGCAGTGAATGTATCAGGCATGTATCTTTATAAAAGAATGATTTATATTCCTTTGAATGTATACCCAGTAATGGGATTGCTGGGTCAAATGGTGTTTCTGGTTCTAGATCTTTCAGGAATTGGCACACTCTCTTTCACAATGGTTGAACTAATTTCCATTCCATTCCACTGACAGTGTAAAAGCATTCATGTTTCTCCACAGCTTTACCAGCATCTGTTGTTTCTTGACTTTTTAATAATCACCATTCTGACTGGCATGGCGTAAACCCGGGAAACGGAGCTTGCAGTGAGCTGAGATCTGGCCACTGCGCTCCAGCCTGGGCTGCGACAGAGCGAGACTCCATCTCAAAAAAAAAAAAAAAAAAGAAAAGAAAAGAAAAAAGAAAAAAGAAAAATAAAACATAAGAATAGACATGTCAGGAGAAGTGTGAAATTAGAAAGAAGGAAGAGAGCTAGCATACTCTTAACCTCCAAACTCCCCCTGGGAAATGGGAGACTCTGGAGTTAAACCTCCCCTTCTGCTAAGAGAGCCTGGAAAGCGCAAGACAAGATGTGCCCTCTTTCCCTGGTAGACCAGAAAGCCTCAGATTGCTGAGGATCAGGAGCCGCCTATCAAGGCCCCCTTCCCCCAGGTAGTCCCACTGATGGCCTCAGGGATCTGGTGTTCCTGACGGGGGAGTCTGGCTGGCTTGTCTCCATGACTGTCTCTTGGAGTGCTGGGGCACACCAGGGCAGGCAAAGCGCAGAGGTAGGAGCTGCTGAGCAGCGTTTCTTAGTTTTGGTGCCATCAACCGGGCTAGTACTTCCTAAAATGGGACTCTGAGGACTTCTGCCAATCCTGGTACCATTCTTCCTTCTGGGGGATGTCCAGAAACCTGGGCACGCTGAAGGGATCTTTGGCAGTAAGTATTGGGGACTCAGTCTTTGAAATGGAGAAAGGAAACTTGGTGGGGAGGAAGGAACAAAGAATAATTTTGCAGTTGAGAAATTATTTTCTCCACCTGTGCCTGGGATTCCGGGTGGGAAAGAGGGAAGCTATTTGGAGTCTCTTGGTAAGAGACTCCCTTGGTGAATACAGGCATCTGAATCTGTGGCAACTGACTCCTTGCTGACGTTCTAAAAGGTTCTTGCTGGAGGTGCCTGGACCTAGAGCTCATGAAATGAACTAAGAAAGAGTAGTAAGCCCAAGGAAGTCTCCCATAAGAAAAACAGGCTGCTCCCCACAACACCAACTGTGTTAGCTTCCAGATGTTCTCATTGCAGCCCCCACACCCATACCCACTGAGGACCCTAGCCTTTGGGGTAAAGAATGGTCTCCAGAAGTCCCTTGGAATGCTGAAATGTGAAGACTCACAATTAGCAGCTAACTGTACTGAGCACTGAAAATTAGTGGTTGAAAGTGAGCACTCAGGAGCCACACATTGTAGGTTCAAATCCTGGCTCCATCCCTGAGTAGCTGTGTGACCTTGGGCAAATTCACATAACCTCCTTATGCTTCCAATTCTTCTGTTTATAAAATGTGAATATTAAGAGTGCTTACCCATAGATATGTAATGAGGATTAAGGAGAAAAGGCAGCTCACAGTCAGTGCTTCATCCGTATTACTCATTGTTACGTCATGTTGCCCCGGGAAGTTTGACTAAGGCTTGTCAAACTGTGTTGCGTTAGTCTTCAAAGCAACCCTATGGGCAAATGAGGAAATCAAGACTCAGAAGTGCCTGGCACACCAAGGGTGGCCCAGAATTCAAAAGCCAAGCTATCTGATGCCAGAAATGTTGATCTCAATCATCGAGAGCCACAGCGCCTCCTGGGGGAGCAACCAAGCACAGCAAGGTTGAGTGACCAGAATAGTCTTAGAGGAGTGCGTCTTTCTCCCAGGAACCTCGTAGATGGTGTGGATAGAGGGTAGGGGTTGGTTTAGGGATTCGATGGTGAGTTGTTACGGGGTTGGGGATGCGGGCAGTGTTGGGAAATTCCTGAGCTACCTGAGGGCCACTACCTTTTGGGGACAGGTGAAGTGGAAACAAGGTTCTTTAACTCTGCAGGGGTGCCCTGGGCTTGGAGAGGGGGAGCACTGGCTCCTTTAAGGCCTCGAGGGAATATATGTTCCCTTGCCTTAGAGCTGTGTCCCAAAATCAAAGTAGAATGCGAAGTGGAAGAAATAGACCACTGTACCAAACACAGAGATTGCCCAGAAAACATGAAGCTTTGCCTGTTCAGCTGTGGAAAGAAATGTTTAGACCTCAGACAAGGTAACTCAGATGCTTCCTAAATTTCCCAGTGCCCTCACCTCCTATCTCCACCTGCACTGCACTAACTCTGTCTCCTGGTTCACTAATGGTTAGTCTCTGACCTAGAGTTTAGGCACATCTTCTACTTGACACAAATCTGTCAGCCCTGGACTTGGGAGACATGGATTTTATTTCATTTCTTCCTCTATTTTGGTATGTGATATGAACAATGTAGTTCTCCTTTCTGGATCTCAGTTTCCCTTTCCATAAGACAGGTGTTGATATTGGACCACATGGTCTCTTGGCTACTCTTCAGTGATTCTTGAGATGCCAAGTAGTCACCGAAGTCTCATCAAATGCCAACATTGTGTCAGGTTATGTGATAGCTATAAGAGACAGGTATATAATCTGTATTTCCTGGCTTTTTTCTCCAGGCCTCTCTGTCTATATAAATCCAGGATGCCTTCCCTGACCACCTTAGACCACCTACACTCTTTCTTCTCTGCTCATATTATTGAGCTGTAAAGAAGACCATCAAGGACTATTCATTCATTCTATTCATTCAACAAATATTGATTGGTGCCCCTTACAGCCACGATGGGTTCCACTTGCTCATTGTGGCCAGGAAGGTCAGAAAAGGTTTTTCTGGGAAAGATATCCATGATTTAAGATCTGAAAGATGAGTACTTAGACCAAAAATGGGAAGAAATAGCCTTTCAGGACAGGTAATAGCATGTACAAAGGCTCTGTGGCAGGAGGCAGCATGTTCAGGCCTAGAAAGGCTGGAAAGCAGAGAGTGAGCAAGAGATAAGAAAGAGGAAGCTGGTAGTGTATATTCAGGGCAACTTGAATCTGTACTCCCAAGTGGCCATCCTCAAGTTTTGGGCTCAAATAAACGCCCTACTTAATCATATTTTCTGAATCTTGTTACTTTAGGTTGGCATACCTTTCAAGACAATAACTAGGTTTTCAGTGCTTTGACAAAACCTCAAATGTGTGGCCTTCCAACCAGGCATCCGTGGTTTCATATTGTTCAAGCATTTGTTGCATCCCTATGGATTGCAGCTCTCTGTAAGTTCGCTGTTGCTGGACCAAGAAATAAGGCATACACAGATTTCTACAGAAATTGTAATTCTATAAGAGATTTTCAGGAGATGGGGAAGGCTGGTATCTTTCAGAGTGCAAAGTGATTTTGGAATTGAAATGATTTCTTTGGGTTAAAGTTTGCCACTGACTTGTGTTCCTGAAACATGAAGCATGAATATGTGGGCTGACAAATAGTCTCTCTTGATAAATAAACAAGTAACAAATTTTAAAAAGAGAGAAAGATGCAGCTGGGCTAGATGGGGGAAGGAGAGCTGGTAAGAGATCTGGTCTTGATTCTAACAGCAATGGATTAACCTATGTTCAAATCCCTTACCATCTGTGTGGTCATAGGAAAGTTATTTAGCCTCTCTAAACCTTAGTTTCCTCATCTGCATAATGAGAACAATAAGAGGACCTACTTTACAAGATTAAATGTTAGTAGATGTCAACTACTAAGAATAGTGCCTGACACTAATCAGTGCTATAATTGTTGTTTTGTCATGCTTCAGACTATGAGGTTCTAAAGAACTCTATTTGTACCTCATAGCACTATGGGCAAAATAATTGCTCAATAAATGCTTAAGATCAGGGTAGATTTGAGTTTCGGGGTTTTTTTTTCTGTGACTACTCCTGAAGCATCCTCTTTATGCCAAATTACCTGCTAGAAACTGCTGTATCAAGATGGCATAAGATGCAACTCCCTCTCAAAAACCTCACATTCTCATGGAGGAATCAGAAAATGTGAACAAGAAAGTACATGGAAATGATAAATGTGTGTGCAAGATTGAGAGGCAACAAAGAAAAGCAAGGAGTAAAGAATGAATCCAGGAAAGACTGCATAAAAGAGTCAATGTCTGGGAAGGGTTTTAAAGAATGAACAAGAGTGCACTTAGCAAGAGAGGTCTGGATATGTCAGGCATGTGCAAAGGCACGGGGTGTGTAAGAACATACTATTTTTAGAGCATAAGTGTGGGAAGTTGGGTGTTGGGGCAGCATAAGAAATAAAGTTGGAGAGGAGGAGGAGAAAATGGATTCTGAAGTCTCTCTGGGTTTGGTAGAACTTTATCCTGTGCCCAGCAGATCTGCCATTCTGGAAACCAATGTCGAGCAGATTGCAGAAGTCTTGGAGATCAGCTGGTGGCCTTTCATGGAAGTCCTTGCAAAAGATAATGATGCTCGAATTAAGAAAGCGGCAGAAAGGAAATAAAGGAGAGCTATTTAGGAGGCAAAATCAGCCAGATTTAGTGTTCAGATGTTGGGGAGGCAAGGAAAAAGAAGCCATGTGATGTCACAGCTGTTCCTTCCAACAGCCCTGTTAGGCGAGCACGTTGGGATTTTGCATTCTCATCTTACAGATGAGGAAGTCAAGGACCAGAGAGGTAAAATGAGTGGTCAAGATTCACACTGAATTGGGAGCAGAGCCCCGAGCCAAATTTGCTTCTCAGCGGAGACAAAGAGAGCGGTGGTCAGAGAAAGGGAGAGATGGACATACTCCAGGGAGACAGGCACCCAAACAGCTCTGTTCTGTGATCTCCCTGCAGGTATATGCAGTATGCCACAGGAGGCTGGCCCCTGCCTGGCCTCCATACCACGTTGGTGGTACAATAAAAAAACAAAACAAAACAAAACGAAAAACCCTAAGATCTGCTCCGAATTCATCTATGGCCGTTGCCAGGGGAACAATAACAACTTCCAAACTGAAGCTATCTGCCTGGTCACCTGCAAAAAATACCATAAGTCCCGGAGGTCCCAGTCTCCTGTGCTCACCAAGGCCACACTGGGAGGTCTGGGTGTTGGCTGGTCTATTCCAAGACCTAGGTGGGCCTGGGAATGACAAAATCAGCTCTAATGCATAAGTATAAGTAGAAGGATATTTTGGGAAAGAGGGTGGGAAGGGAGGGATTAGTCAAAGGGATATTGGCAAGTACGAGGTGAGTAGTGGGTGTAGAGAGAAAACAAAAGTGTTGAAGTATCCCAGACCAGGTCAGATGGAAGCCCAGTAAACCCAGCCCAGCCCTGGGCACCATTCATCAGTCAATCATTATAGGCCTTTACTTCTCACTAAACCTTGTTGTTACTTCTCTTCCTTTTAAAGGTTATTTCTAACCAGGGCAACCACATACTTTATTGGCCAAACCAAATCACTTTTGAAAGTGTCTGAAGGTGAGGTGACATTAATTATTACACTGGGACAACAGGCATAAACTGAGACTCTACTGGACAAGTCAGAACCCATGATCATTCTAGGATCCCCCAAACTCACCTTCATTCCGTTCCTGCCCAAAGATATAAAAATGATCCCACCTCCTTTTTCCCATTAGGTGCAAGATTTGGTTCCTAATGTGGTCAGGGTCCAAGCATCTCACCCTTTAATCTTCTACCTCACAGGTTAGCCTTACTTTATACCATAAGGAGGAGCCTGAATAACCTCCAGGATTTGGATCATAATCCAGGCCTCTCTCCACGTGTGCCTGATTGATGCTCCAAATTGGCTTCCACGGGCCAAACCTTGGCTGTTGCAGAAACTGAACTCCAGGAATTGCTTACACCCTTTCTTCCAGTGTAGCATATCTTCAAACACAATGCTCTTCCCCTTGACCACTTCTCAGTATGAAACTCTATGTCTTCAACTTTCAGAACCCCCATTTATTCGTGTGAAGCCTTCAGTTGCCTTAATAAAGCGCTCTGTGGGGTCTGATTTCTCTGAGGCTGAATAATTCACATCTGCAATATGTTGATATTGACATATACTCACATCTCTCTATATGTAATTTTCAGAGAACAAGAAGCTATTGCACCTTCTGGTGACACCAGAAAAGGGAGAGAGTATGAAAATCCTGCAAATTTTCCTGTGGAAAGATAACTAACTCTTTTATTTAACATGGTGATCAAAATACGATATTTTAATTTTTATTACAGGTGAATTGGATAAAACATATACCCGAATGCTTGCAGCCGTGCTTGATGTCTGTAGTTCTGTTACAGGTTTGTGTCCTAGAAACACAGGAATTTTAATAAATTATCTTTTGTACAATTCCATTAAAAAAAGAAAAAATGCATGGTACATTTAAAATTACACATATTGAATTATCAAGTATATGCTTACTAGAAAAGAACTTCTGAACAGGCTTCCATAAGAGCTGATTTTTTTTTCCCACTGAAAATGTGATGTATCTGGCTGGGCTCAGTGGTTCATGCCTGTAATCCCAGCACTTTGGGAGGCCGAGGTGGGCAGATCACCTGATGTCAGGAGTTCAAGACCAGACTGGCCAACATGGTGAAACCCCATCTCTACTAAAAATACAAGAAATTAGCCAGGTGTGGTGGTGCGCACTTGTAGTCCCAGTTACTCAGGAGGCTGAGGCAGGAGAATTGCTTGAACCTGGGAGGTGGAGGTTGCAGTAAGCCGAGATGGCACCATTGCACTCCATCCTGGGCGGCAGAGTGAGGCTCCATCTCAAAAAAAAAAAAAAAAAAAAAAAAAGATGTATCTGTTATTTGAAAGAATGCTCCACAGGCTTATTTTCCTGGCTCCATACATTTCAAAACTTGTTTCTCCTCTACTACCCACAACCTTCTTGGGCTAAGAACGTTCATTTTACAGTGCAACCTCTAGTCCCATAACTTAGTGTCATAACGTCAAGGGAATCGGCCCAGTAGACAACGGGAGTATTATTTGCAGCTGCTCCTCCACCAGGACAGCTAGCAGCAACTTCCTACACATAGAAATGACAGCAAACGGCCTAAATATATTCTACTAACTCCAAAATAAATATATCCCCAACTCAACTTCCTTTTAATTTGCATGCCTAAAATGCTGGCAATCGCCCCAACACCACCTAACCCAGGAGAAGTGTGAAAGGTCAGAGTGGAAAGGGAAGATGGATTGGCTGATTATGGTTAGAATATCTTACTTTTGCAGATATTACAGGTCATCTGACCATGTAACATATAGCTAGAAGCACTTCCAGAATTGCTCAAGCAAGGACCCTGAGGCTTGGCTCCATCAGCCTCATGGTAAGTCCATCTCTGAAAGGGCCCATGGACTTGTTTTCTGGAGTTGTAGCAAAGGAGACAGTTCCATAGCATGGTGCAGAAATTCTCCAAAATTGAAAATAGCTGGAGAGAGGCATGAAAGGGAGAGATGAAGGAAAGCAGAGTAGAGTTAAAGAAGAAGGGAGAAGAAAGGGGTGAAGGAGGAAAATGGTGTGATGGTGTGACTGCTTTAAAGCAAGGTCCTACAATTCTTTCACTCGCCTTCCACCTAGAAGTGGGATCTATGTCCCCTCCTTTTGAATCTGAGAAAACTCTGTGACTCTTTGACCAAGAGAATAAAGCAAACATGATGCTATGTGACCTTCAAGGCTAGGCTAGAAAAAGTGCAAGTCCCACTTGATCCTCTTAGGTAGCTTGTTTGGGGGTAGTGGGAAACTGCCATGTAAGATGTCCAACTACTCTGAGAGAAGCCCATACTAGAGAGACCCATGTGGGTGCTGTGATCAGCAGGCCCAGATAAGCTCTGACTGATAGCCAGCATCAATTCCAGCCATGCAAATGAGCTGCTCAACCCAATAGAGCCTTCAGATGGCTGCAGCTCCAGCAGACGTCTGACTGCAACCATGGGAAAGACCCTATAAAAGAACCACCAAGCAGATTGCTTCCCAGATGGCTGACCCACAATATGAAATGGTTGCTTTAAAGTGCTAAGTTTTAAGAAAATTTATTCACAAAATAGGTGATCAAAGATGGAAAGGGGCTAGCTGCAGTGGCTCACAGCTGTAATTCCAAGCACTTTGGGAGTCCAAGACAGGCAGATCACTTGAAGTCAGAAGTTCAAGACCAGCCTGGCCAAAACGGCAAAACTCCATCTCTACTAAAAATACAAAAATTAGCCGGGCATAGTGGCGGGCACCTGTAATACCACCTACTCGGGAGGCTGGGGCAGGAGAATCTCTTCAGCCCGGGAGGCAGAGGTTGCAGTGAGCTGAGATTGTGCCACTGCACTCCAGAGCGAGACTTGGTCTCAAAACAAAACAAAAAAAAGATGAAAAGGGAGTAGAAGGAAGGATAGGGGAGAGAAAGAAGAAAGAGATGCCCAGAGGACTGGGCAAGATAAGAGGATGCCAGGCTTAAGAAGGGAATCTCACAGCAGGCAACTTGTCACCACAGCACACCAAGACTTGCTATCTCTTGTCAAATAAGTTTCTTGTTTAATATAACTTGAATCAAGGGGCTCTAAAGAGGCTGGAATTCACTTGTCGTTGATGCTGTTGCCATCTCTACTCCCCTCTCTTTAGAAAGGGCTGGTTAAACTAATTGTAGAAAACTCTAAGGAAGGTGCAAAAAAAGGTTAGAATTAATAAACAAATTTATTAAAGTTATAGGATACAAAATCAACATACGAAAATCAATGGCAATTTTATACACCAAGAACAATCTCATTTCCATTAGCAGCAGCAACAACAAAACACTTAGTAATTAACTCAACCAAAGAAGTGAAAAACTTATGCATTGACAATTATAAAACATCGATGAAGAAAATTTAAAAGACACAAATAAATGGAAAGAAATCTCAGGCTCACAGACTAGAAGAATTAATATTGTCAAAATGTCCACACTACCCAAAGCAACCTACAGAGCACATGCAATTTCTGCCAAAATGCCAATGGCATTTTTTTACAAAAACATAAAAAGCAATGCTAAAATTCATATGGAACCACAAAAGACCCCAAATTGCCAAAGGAATTTTGAAAAAGAACAGAGCTGTAAGCATCACATTTCCTGATATCAAATTACACTGCAAAGCTAGAGTAATCAAAACAGTGTGGTACTGGCACAAAAACAGAAAAGCAGATATACAGGCCAATGGAACAGAATAAAGAACCCAGAACTAAGCCCACCCATTTGTGGTCAATTGATCTTTGACGAGGGTGTCAAAAACACACAATAGGCAACAGAAGATCTCTTTAACAAATGGTGCTGGGAAAACTAGATATCCATATGCAAAAGAATGAAATTGGATCCCTATCCAATACCATATACAAAAATCAACTTAAAATAGATTAAAGTCTTAAACGTAAGACCTGAAACTAAAATTCTTTAAAAAGTCTTGAAGAGACATCTGCATTTCCAAGTTCATTGCTATTCATAATAGCAAAGATATGAAAAAAACCTAAATGTACATCAGCAGATAATGAATTAAAAACTGTGGTGTGTGTATGCACACACACATACATGCTATACACATATATACAATGTATATATACATTATACAATATTTGTATGCATTATGTGTGTACACACACACAATAGAATAGTATTCATCCTTTAAAAAGTAGGAAATCCCATCATTTGCCACAACACAGATGAATCCAAAGGACATCATGCTAAGTGAATTAAGTTGGACACAAAAAGACAAATATTGTCTGATCTCACTTATATGTGGAATCTAAGATAGCCAAACTTGGGCTAGGAGTGATGACTCACGCCTGTAATCCCAGCACTTTGGGAGGCTGAGGCAGGAGGATTGCTTGATGCCAGAAGTTCGAGGCTGCACCCTGGGTGACAGAATGGGATCCTGTCAAATAAATAAATAAATAAATAAATAAATTAATTAATTAATTAAAAAAATAGTCAAACTCATAGAAGCAGTGAGTAGAATGGTAATTACAAGGAGAATGTGGTGTTGCGGGGGGGAAGGAGAAAAATGAGAAAATATTGGTCAAAGAGTACAAAGTTTCCATTTCAGTTATGCAAGATAAATTAATTCTGGAACCTAATGTACAGTATGGTGACCGCAACTAACAATATTGTATTTCATACCCGAAATTTGCTAAGAGGGTGGAT